CCTGATTTTTAGTCTCTCATAAACTCTCCTACCTGGTCGTACTCTTCTCCTCAAAAGTTTTCTCCTGCTGTCCTCTCCTCTCCTGTCATTAGTAACACCTCCCTTACTTTCTTTTCTTGGCTTTATTGATGTTGTGAAGATCCTCAGGGCTCTCAACTTGGGTCTCCTGGCGTGGATGTCTTCATTGCAGAAGGTTTCTGTCTGATGGTGATAAAGATCCCCTAAATCCTCCCCAAATGAAATGACCTGCAGTTATTTTAAGGAGGTTGTATTTGACGCATTACCAGGAGGATATGAACCACTTTAAGGAACCAGAAAGAAAAGGTTAATATTAGACATCGACTGACTTGTATGTCTAAATCTCTTGCTGCACATTATAAAGCGATATGGTTCTTCTATCTGACATTTCAGTGGGTGTTCCTCGAGATGGGAACCACCGCCGTGTTAGCTGACATACAGTACTGACGTCAGTGTGTGTGTGTTTCTTATTTCAGAGCTCTTTACCTCCATGGTTCATGACGATGAGGCCTGATGTTCTAATTAAGGCCTCTAATGGAGGGGAACGATGGCGGTTGGATTACATTCTTCATCTGCATGACAGTTAGAGAGGTTGAAATGTCAGCTGGTCTAAACAACCTGCTCAGGAGGGAAAAACCTGCACTCAGTCCTTCAGAGGCTGCAGAGACCTGCAGGGTTCATTGAAGACGTACTGTTGACTGATTTAGCCACATTTGGATTTAGTTTCCTCTCAGAACAGAACACTGACAACAAACACAGGCTCAGAAATGCACAAATATTTTACTTTCAAATGATAAAAAAAAAAGCTGTAATTTGATCAAAAATAATTGCAGGAAAAAATGTTTCTCAGGAGGGTAAAGTAGTAAAGTCCAGGGCCTGTATTCACAAACATTCAAAAGAGCTCCTAATTTAGCCTACAGGATTATTTTAAGCTAGGAGTAAATTTAGTGAGGAGGCGGGGTCAACCCTGTTGCTAAGTGTGACACATTTCTACACAAAGTATAACGCCTACAAAATGATTGAAATCACATGCTCACTTGTGCAGCAGCTTCTTCACTTACTGATCGTTATATCAGCATGTGAAGAGTCTTAATCAGTGATTGGATGAACATGTGGAGGTGAGCACATGTAGAGAAACTCAACATGCATGTCTCACTTTGTACTGAACTAAGTTAGAGATTGTCTGCACAAATCGTTTTAGTCTGTTCGGCCGGACTATGATTCAAAAATATTCTTCACGTCGTGTTTGCAGAACATTTCTCCATTTTCTCCTCAGCTTGAGAAACTCTTCATCCTGTTACAAGTCCTCACAGTTTGTCACCTCAGGAGCTCTCTTAAGTGGTAAGATGCTTTGTAAATAACTTTCAGAAAATATTCTGTCACTAGGAGCGACTCTTTGTGAATATGGCCCCAGGTGAATTTGAGCTGCTCTTAAAAGGTAAAGAAACTTTCCTGCAGAGAGGGGAGCAGCAGGCTTTCTTAAGACATCATCTTCATAAGTGCTACTGGAGCTATTTAACCTCTTCAAGCCTTTCACTCTTCATGCACCTTGTTAGTTTGTGAAGTTGTTCTTCTGACACAAGTGCATGAAGTCAGTGATGAGGTGAAGACGACTTTATTGGTTTTAAGAACATCACATTAAGCAATAACAACAAGGAAAGCCGTGATCCTCCCCTGCACTGCGTCTTTCTCTCAGTGTGCTTTAGTGGTTTCATTGATGTAATTTGTTTTTATTGTGATATGCACTACAGCGATCAAATCATTTGAAGCACATCAGATGTGCCTGAGGTAAAACCAGAAGCTCCCCCCTCTCTATGGATTCTTATTGGATATGACACTTAAATTACATTTTCCTGCAGAGCTGTGAGGTTATGATCCACGCTGAACACGCTGAGACACCGGACACAGACGACGCTGTAGACAGAATGTCCGCATGGTTTTACAAGCTGATGACACCGACATGCTTTTAGGTTGTGACAGATGTATTTACACACAGCACTGATGTCAGAGAAGCTTTAACGATTTGTTTGCTCCCTCATCTGTTTGCCGAGATGAGAATGCCTGGTGAGGGAAAAGCTCCTGAGCTGGAATCCGTGTAGTTGTCAGTCCATTTAGAAACTGTAAAGTGTCTTTGGAGCAGCCACAGCCAATCAGGAGTCGACTAGTCTTTGTTTACTTCAGGGACTTTTCCCGACCAATCAGGTAGCATTTTCCTCGTGCATCATACATTTTGGTCCGCTTGTAAATGTCTCTGTGTGAGCGTAGACCAAACTTGAGGTAACTCTGCAACAATGGAACAAACTGGTCCATGATTCAGACCAGAGCAAACGATCTACAGGAGTGAAAACACCCTGAGTGTATAACCTCAAGGATAAAAGTTCAAATGTATCATCCGCTTTTGAAAGATAGTCTTTGGTGCATTAACGCCAGTGAGATTTCTCCAGTTTTATTTTGTCCTATCCTCTCTGGAGAACAGCGAGTTGGTGTTTGGGGCTCTGTGAGAACATGCAGACACATCTGACGATGTTAGAAGATGTGAATCTCTCACCAGCTGTCAAAGTTCAGCTCCATCAGTTCGGAGTCTCCTGCAGATGTTGCAGATGTTCTCTGCGTCTGAGTGTTTTTTTTAATACTTTAGCTCAGGGGTGTGACATCTTCCTCTGGCTCTGCTCTTTTCACTTAAAACTAAATAAAACTTGAAGAGGATCACTTTATGTTCTTGTGAAAAGTTCAGCTCATCTCTTCAGTGTTACACGAGTTAGCAGAACTCCAATTCTGCACATGAAAAAAAAAAAAAACAGCTGCAGGTTGAGTGCCGCCGCCCTGAGGGTTGAGTCAATTTCATGTGATAGCCCTCCAGACGAGGAGCTGGTGAAATGTCAATTAGCCTCCCCGTCCTCCTCCACACAGTGTTCTCAGCCTCAGCGCTTCCAGGGCTAATCGCTCATCATTTACCCCCGGCGCTTGTCTGGAAGGAGGGCGGGCAGTTCGAGTGGGAGGAAGGTGGCATGATGGGAGTGTGAGTACAGAGACACACACACACGTTTGACAAACCTCAAATGAATCTTCATTTTTCAGCAGCTCCTCTGAGACCTGCAGGTGTGCGTATGAGCCGAGGCAGAAAAAGATAAATGTTTGAGTCATTGGTGTTTACACTCAGTTACTAAACAGAAAGTATAGACCAAGACTATATCACAGAGGTTTGTGAGCACAGAGTTACTGCAGGTCAAGAACGAGCTCGTCTTAAATAAATAAACACACAGAAACAGACCCGTAAGATGCTAAAAAAAAAAACAACCTTCATCTACTTTGTAAAAGCTGCAGAAGCATGAACGTGAATCTGAGTTCCTTTGAGTTGCTCTAAAATCTGCAAATTAAATCAGCTTCAGAAGAAAACATTTCAGCATATTCTAAAAAAGAAAAGAACAAATATCTCTTAAGGGTCGATAAATCTGGATTATTCAGGGAGCCGAGTGGTTGTAGTTGATTAAATCTTAGAATCATCCTCAAAATATTCTTCAGGGTTCACTTTTTATCTGTTTTTTTTAACTTCCATATTTTGATTATACTTTTTACTTTTTAACACACATACAGACAAGTCAAAGAGTACAACAGAATACACAATTTAAATCTCTCACCTATGTCTCAGATACACGGCATACCTTGTGTTAGAGCATCTAAGCATGTATAGGGCACACTCGATGTATAAGGACTACAGTGAGCATTTGTTTTTTTTAATTCCCTCCGGAATGACCACACTTTTAAAGTTGTGGCTGCCACCCTGGATCTGAGCTTCCCCTCTCAAATCATTCATGAGAAGACGATGCTCCCACTCCTTTTTTAGGGCTTCAAAAAACTAAATCTAAGTGTTTCTATTATTTGTTCTTTTTTACACTTTCATTTGTGTTTGTGGCGCACTTCGGTCTGCTCACACTCTTCAAATATTCTCCAGACATTAAAGCTGTTTGCACAGAATCTCAATGTGAACTAAAGAGTGGAGAAGAACATACTGGAGAACAGGAAACATGCAGCAGCAGGTTGATTAGAGCACAGAGATGGTAGAGGTGGCATGCAGACAGTCTATGGTCGTTCAGCGATCACAGGGAATAAAGGTCACCACCCCCTCCCACTGGCTCCAGGTGAATTCTCCTGATTATATTCTGCTGCGTTCTCACACCAAACGTTCTGCAGAATAAAAACTAAGGAGGCTGGGAGGAGACATTTCAGATAAAGTCAGAGTGAATAATTCATCTGTTTGTGTTTCACACATCGTACTCAGCTTGAGTCTTTCAGGAGTTTTGTGCAGGTGTGAAAGCAGCTTTAATACTTTTTCGGTTGATGTTCATGCTATGTATTGATCTAACTCAAATCAACACTTTTTCATTTGAACACCATTATCCTGAGACGAACACAAGGTGAAAACATTGCTTTGTGTTTCAGTCTGAAACTCGACGTGGAGGCTTTAAACGTTTCAGTCAACCTGCAGGTAAAACAGTGTCCAGCTTTTTGCAGACCATGTAAGTTATTGCAGAAAGAAATGATTGATGATGAAGTCACTCTACTAAACAGGATATTGGTAACTAGAAGGAGAAGTCATCTTGCTGAATGAGCATGACTGTTTGAGGAGCGACAGCCTGCAGAAAATGTATGAGTAAAGTTTCCATGTTTACTGCAGAGTTTTCTCTGTTTTTAACTTTATTACTTACACACTTTGTTTTATGCACATTCCTGTGGAGAAAAGAAATAAAGGTGCTGACTGGATCTGAAGCTGTCCGTCAAAACTTGTGAAGACATGATTCCAAAAAAAGCCTATACTGTGAACACCTCCAGTCTCGCAGTCTTACAGTCAGGTTAGCCTCCACACTCCCACGCGTGGCAGCATTAGTCACACCTCGTTAATTTTCCCAGGAGCTCGTGATGGAATCAGGTCGGGTATAAAGGAGGCACCTGGTCAGCGCTAAACACAGGAGCAGGGACGAGCAGGGACGAACACCAACTGAAATACATAGATTTAAAAAAAAAAAAAACACCTGCAAAAGAAAATGAACCCAAATATCTGCTTTTGCTGCTTTTCTTTGGTTTTGCTGTTAAACTTTGTAAGAGCCAAACCTGTTTCTGACTTACAGGTAAGTTCACCTTCATATTAAGGCTTTCTTTATTATATATTTAATCATCTATAGAGAGACTTTAAAGTGACTTAAACTTTCTTTGTTTCAGACTCTGAAGCAGCTTTTAGAAGAGGAGCTCAACAACGCACCGTTGTACTCCTCAGACGAGGAGCTGGAGGCTGAGGTGAAGGATGCAAACACGGATAAGTCTCTGTTCGGGGTCCCAGAGGAGCACCCCTGGGACTCCTCGGACCCCAGAAACTCCGCGCTGCAGGCGGCCAAAGACAACGTCCTGGCGCGTCTCTTCAAGGACCTGATGCGGACCTCCAAGCGCTCCTGGAGCCGGTACAAGAAGGGCGGGCTGAGGAGCTGCTTCGGGGTCCGGTTAGAGAGGATCGGCTCCTTCAGCGGGCTGGGATGCTGAAGGTGAGAAGCTGCGAACACCGACATGTGATTTATTTTTAAAGGTTGTTTAAATCAGCACAGAACTTTAACTGGATGTTCTTTCTTGTCGTGATTGCACGCAGAGATTTTGTCACTTTAGCCTTTAAGTTGCACAACAATTATGCAATATCAGCATTTGCACCATAATTACCTTTCAGACTTTTTTATGAAATAAAGAAAGACATTACAGTTTAAGGAGATGTTTCTGAAAATATAAGAAACATAATAGTCAGAACGATGCAGATTATCTTGGAGGAGGGAGCTAAAAAACGTGAAGGAAAATGCATCATTTTCAATAAATACTGTTTTTCTCCCGCCATTATTTTAACCCAGTATGATGTGTGAATAAATACATAATTAAAACACACAGTGATTTGTTCACCTTTTACATCATATTTTCATTAAAGGTGAAACATAACGCAGCACACTCAGGTCCAAAGCAGAAAAATAAACTCCTCTTAGGGATTTAAAAGGCTGGATTAAAAAAAGTCAGGGTCGTTAAACCTCAGATGGATTACATTTACGATTTAAGTGATGCATTTCAATTTAATTTCTTAGTATTCTGCTGCTTCTCTGTCACCATCTTTGTTTTCTGCGTATCTGCACCGCTGCAGCAGCTCTCATTGCTCAAGGGCACCTGGGCACCTTCAACATGCCCTCTTCCGATGTGATAAACATGTAACAAAGCTCGTTTTAATCTTGTGCAATAACATGTTTTTTTTTAAATTATGGTTCTGTTGTGTCCACAGACTCGGGTGGATGAGGGATCTCCTGCAGCCTCTGACACTTTAAAGGGCGGATCTTCTTCTTGTCCTCCACACGGTTCAGATTCAGGACTGTGACTTTATTATTATTTTCCACATGTGAGCTGCTAAATATGAATAAATTATTGTCGATGTAGATATTATTTATTTATTTTGTCTTTTTGTTGGATGTGTTGCCTTGTTTTAGATTGTAATGCAGTAAAAAAAAATGTTTCCTAATCTCTGAGTCAGAGTGATTTGTTTCCTAAAGCCTGCAGGAGGATATTTACCTTCACCTGTGGAGAACAAGAGAGTAAATAAGTCCAGGTGAAGGGTTAATACACGTTTGCAGATTTGCAGGAAAAGGAAACTGATTGTTCAGATTTTGTTTGTGAAGGTTCAAGTTCAATGAAAAAAAAAAAAAAAACACGGACACACTCATCCCTCAGAGGGTGCTGGATCCAAAAACACGAAAATCAAACAAGATCCGCACACCAAGAAACTACCTAAAGGATTTATTGATAAGTGACGTTTCGAGCCAACATGCTCCTCCTCAGACTACGGGATCAGGCTCGACAGTGAAAACCCTTCTTAAATATAAATATAAAGGGGGAAAAGGCTCTCTACAGTCTGTTGGGATGAGTGTCCAACTTTTACGCACGCGTGGATTTTCCAAAAGCTTGTTTTACGCGCAATCATTTAATCGAGAAAATTACTTTTATAAGTCAAACTATCACTCTGATGTCAGAAAAAATCAAGACAAAAAACTGATCTTAATAATGTAAACCACTCTACTCTCTCAAAGCCTGTGATTCGTCATTAACACATTCAAAAGCTCCTTCTGACGCAGCGATGCAGTGAATAAACACATTTTAATCTGCGCCTGCAGTGAGTGTGAGTGTGAGGTTGTTGAGGGAGATAAAGTATTTCTCTTTAATGCTACATTGCAGAGGGAGGTGTTGTAGGTGTAGAAGAAGAAGGAGACCAGGCTCACTTGTTACATTTCTCAGTAAATTCAAATCCATCTACACTGTGAAACACAACTGTCTATTTTATAAACTTTACTGAGTGTGCTGTCAAACATATTTAAAAAGAACACATTGAATATATAAATGCAGCAGTCACTCACTGTGCCTTAAACCTGCATTCTTTCTATTGAACAGCAGGGGGCGACTCCACTGTTAGAAAGGAGTCCAATGTTGTTGTTTGTACAAAACAAATTAAAAATCGGCTTGAACTCAAAGCGCTTTTACACCGCAGGTCACACCTACATTCACACACTGATGGTAGAGGCTGCTGAGTAAAGAGTCCATCAGAAGAAACTCATCCCATTCACACACATTCATTATTTGAGCAACTTGGGGTTAAGTGTCTTGCCCAAGGTCACATCGGACATGTGGCTGCAGGAGCTGGGGATCGGACCCCCGACCTTCCAGTTGAGAGGCGACCCACTCTACCAACTGGGCAATAGCCGCCCCACACAAGATGCACTCTTAGTTTCCTTACAATGATATTCGAGGCATTCTGATCCTGATTCAATATGAGAAAATGTTCCGACTGCAGTTGATTTATTCCCTCAGTAAACATTTACCTGATGACTTTATGGTCTCGATCTGCCACTACAGTTACCTTGCAATGAGGATTAAGTCAATCTGCATCAAACATCTTTTCTAATATGGAAGCTCCTGGCTCCAAAAACACAAGATTGGGGTGCAGAGATGTCAAAGTTCAGTGCAGGATGCAGCAGGATGTAGTGGTTCTCATGGCAGCATCTACACATTTGCCCCCCAACACTTCTGTGTGATCAGAGCTGACTGCAGGTTTTATGATTAACTCAAGCATCAATCACACAAAGTCATAAAAAGGTGAAGTACTCATGAACAAAGGATGTCTCTAAAGCCAGACTCCATGAACTGAAATAAAAATGGCCCCCCTACCCCCTTTGGTTCTTGAGTCTTTTCTTCGTTCTTTGCGTCCTCAGGAAGAACTTTTGTCAAACTTTTCTTTGGCCATCGACGTCTGAACTCACAAACCACAAGACTACTCTCACACCATCACGTCCTCACCCAAATATAGCAACACGGTCACACTGTCTTCTCGTTTACTACTTCCCGTAGCTCAGTGACAACAATGTTCTGTGTTGTGGAAGGGGGAGGAGGGTGGGGGGGTCGAGTATGTTTCTGAAACAAAGTGTCGTATGGAAGCAGCTATGTCATACGAATGCCCCCATATCTAAGAGACAGCGCTTTAAAAGGAGCAGTTTCCGACAGCTCCTCTTATCAGAACCAGGTGTCAGGAATGCCAGTCCAATTCCTGACATTCCTGCGCGAGTCCTGCTGAACGTATAAAAGAGCGGAGCGGTCCTGGTGTGGCATCCAACATCCAAACAGCAACCAGGGAAAGACGCCTAAGAGCATCCATCCATCTATCCATCCATCCAACCATCCAGTGACACGAGGAACTCCGAGAGAAACATGCATCTGTCCTCCGTCTGCGGCCTGCTGCTCATCTTAAACCTGCAGCTGATCACCTCGTATCCAATCAGCACCGGCCTGACCGACACCGACATGGAGATCTTAAAGGTCAGTCTGCACAGGCTGAAACCTGGGGTGTAGGAAAGTCTGGGTCCTCTAGGAAGATTTTGTTGATCTGCAGCAGCAGAACAGAAGATTTGAAGTTGATTTATCGAGCTTTATGAGTTGAGGAGAAGATTCTGAAACGTTTTTATTGTCGTTCTGTGTTGACATTTTGGACTCTGTGATTTTGACTGTATTTCTCAGTCTGATAGGAAGTCACTGACGCTATATCTGTGCTTTTAATGATTCATTTTAAGGTGTAATCAGAGAATAAAGAAGACTTTCAGATAGAGAAAGTCTCCAAGGGTCTAAAAATGTGCTTTCACTGCAGTGCAATAGAAAAAAGCACAACCATTTTTGAAAGCCTTTTTTTGCCATGGCACTCACTGAAACACTTAAAGGAACAGATAAAATTTAAATACTTCTTATGTCACAACACCGAAAACATTCTGCATGGTTGTAACTGTTCAGTAGAAGACAGGCGATGTAGAGAAATCTCAAACATATGCCTCACTGCGATGATTAAATGTGTGATAAACTGGACTAAGCATATCTTCTGTCCTGCAGGTTCTCCTTCACAGACTGGAGGATTCCGTGTCCGAGCAGACTGAAGTGGACCAGAGAATCCCTGCAGAGAGGGACGGTGTGGATGAGGACGAGGCAGCAGATGTTCAGCAGCCTCAGACCGGCCTGGACGAGGAGATGATCCGAGAGTTTCTGTCTGCCAAGAACCTGAAGAGCGTCCGCAACGACTCGTCCAGGAGGTCCTCCGGCTGCTTCGGCCGACGGATGGACCGGATAGGATCCATGAGCTCACTGGGCTGCAACACGGTCGGCAAATACAGTAAGTACAAGTCAATGAAGTCACTTCTTTAAGAAGTGTGAGCTCATGCAAAATTGTCTTATAATCAAGAAGAAAACAAGACTCAGCTAAAGATTTAAAAAAAAATGGATGTTCCTAATAACGAGTTCTTTCTCTCTTGTTCTCTTGCAGCTCCAAAGTAAAGATGAAGTCTTACCATCTTAATAATGGAACTGCAACGTCTCTACCAAAGGACATTTCTATTTGAATGCTATTTATTTACTAATATTTATTGAACTTTCTGTTTTGTGGCTTACACATATATTTATTTAAAATGGATGTGAGACTGTTGTTTATGTAATGTTGAATGTTTTAATAAATGTTTACAACTGCAAACCACTGAAAAGGATCCATTATCCTTCCTGTACGGGGTCGGGGGGGCTGGAGCTGATCACCCAGCTGTCATTGGGCGAGAGGCGGGGTTACACCCTGGACTGATCACCAGCCAATCACAGGGCTGACATATAGAGACAGACTACCAGCCACACTCACGTTCACACCTACGGGTAATTTAGAGTCAGCAGTTAACCTAACGAGCATGTCTTTGGACTGTGGGAGGAAGCTGGAGTACCCGAAGAGAACCAACACATGCACGGGGAGAACATGCAAACTCCACACAGAGAGAGGCTCCTGAAGGACGGGGTAGCCTGCTTGCTGTAAGGGGAAAGCGCTAACCACTGCCCCTAACTACCTACATGCACAATGAAATGGTCAGCAACCACAAGAAAACAAAAAAAAATATGAAGGATTTAAGCGTGACTGGCAACTTCTCACATATGATAAACTGGCACATGACAATCATAGAAGGCTTTGACACATGCATGTTAGTATAGATTTACATAAATGTGAGAGGAAGGAGAGGATAATTAAAGGTATATTTGCAGTCTTTGCCTTCTTGGTGACTGCTTGTCTGCTATATCTTATCTGTTAGTTTTCTAATGGGCCCAGGAGGATGGGCCCTTCATCTGACCTGGAAGACTGCACAGATTGTAGAAAAAGATGCTTGTAGCAAAAGGTTGTAAAGATCTTGAATCAGATAAAGCCAGAGATTTCAGCACCATGGAGAGCACACACCTCGTCTCAGTCTTGTCTGCACATGTGATGAAAGACGATTCTGCAGGACTGGATATTTGTACAAATCTTTGCACTCATTTGAATAACATGCAGCATGTTCAGCGGCTTTGGACATTGCTTCACTGAGAGATGAGAAACCGAGCAGTTAGAGGATGTGACTCCAGTGCTGTGAATATATAAAAATGTACCACCTATACATTTAAGAGCACTAAAATTGTTTCTAAATGTGTGCAACATTTAGAAAGAACTAATCAGGCAGGGATTAGTGATTTATGGGTTCAGTACTTTAAGACATTTAACTCCTTAAAGGTCCAATCAGTGAGATGTGGAGAGAGTGAAATGATAAAGGTACCTTACTATATGATCAGACATAAAGGAAACTTACTATGTTGAAGTGCTGGCTTCTCTGACAACAATGCAGCAGCCAGTATGTCCTCCTTCTAACTTTAGATTCTGCTCCTGAATGCTCTGGATTTGTTTGGACCAGAGAAGGTAGGCGGTTTTAAGGCTGATGTTCAATATTGGAGATGCTTTTGAAAAATGGAGAGAGGTTAGAACACAGAAAGGTTTACAGACCCATGCAGAGCTGGATAAACACTGAAGCTTCAGTGTCCACCACATGGTGACCTGCGTGAGCATCGACTTTAGAGACAGCTCTCTACAATGTTTTGAATTTAGACTGCAGTAGGAATTTTAAACACTAGGGGTCAGAGTTACATACTGCTCCTTTAATGGTTGATATTTGGTAAGAGGTGATGTAAAAGATACCCGGATCATTAACAAAACGATGTGAGGCCCACATGCAACTTTTACAACATTTAAAACCTTCCTAACCCTCATCATACTGACTGAAACAGTTCAAGAATCCAAATAATTCATAGCTACTCTGAAAAAATGTGTTTCATATCGATGAATTGTTTACCCCCCTCTCCTCATCAGATCCTCCGTCGCCCGGCAGCAGCCGCAGTTTTAACCTACTATGGTGTTTTCAGGAGTGCAGACAGTGTGAAGTATTTGAATGCAGCATTCCTGTCAATACACTAATGCACACCTCGCCTGAGCTCACTGCGCCAACATGGCTCCTGAGGTCATGCTGACTGGTTACCATGATGATATACACACACACAAACACACACACACACACACACACACACACACACACACACACACACACACACATCAGCACCACCAAGCACCACTTAAACAGACATCTGACCAGCTGCCTTATCCTGCAGAGGTGTCAGAATGCTCTTGAGGCGATTTACAAAAAGATGAGCTACTGACACTGACTGTCTGTTTGTGTTTGTGTGTGTGTGTGTGTGTGTGTGTGTGTGTGTGTGTGTGAGTGTGTGTGTGTTAGCATGTGTATAAAATCATGCAGTGCGCTGCTGTGGCATCAGTGTTTGCAGCAGAAGGATATGATGAGTGCTGCGGTCCTGTGGGGCCTGCTGGTCCTGCTCTGTCAGCGTACACTGGTGAGCGGACACGTACTGGGACGACCGTCTGCGACCAGTGACCTCGCCCAGCTCAAGGTAAGAAACAAGCCTGACCCTTCAGGATCAACACCACTTTTCTTAACCCTCCTACAACCCTAGGATTTGTTTTACACCTTTCGTCCTACGACACAAAAAAAAAATGCTCCAATAAAGACTGTCATAGAAAAATTATCTATTAATGTATAATTCCAATTTTTGTAATGGTCACTATTATTAACTTCAGTCCTCACTATACATATTACACCTACAAAATATTCAGTGTTTCAATCATCCAATCTACTAAAAGACACCAAACAAGAGTCAACAGCAGAATACGCTTTTTGAGAGAGAAGATTTGGCACATTTTTCATGGGCGCAACCCACATACTCAGCTCTGCTGCTCATCCTACAAATGCATGTTCTTTACAAATGTGGCACCATTTAAAAGGGAAATAAACAGGCTTTTCAACAGTATACGATTGATTGCCAGGAAGCATTGTTACAACAAACAAATAATCTATCAAACCCAAATTTCCTTACATTTTGTGTAATGTTTATAATAATTAACACCTTTGGCCCTGTTTCCCTGCAACATCACCTGTGTAAACAAAGACATACTAGCAGGCTTTTGTTTTGGATACTATGTCGGTAAAACAGTAAAAGCTAAAATTCCAGTCCCTCAATTTCATGAATCCATGAAAAAATTAATAAAAAATTAAATTCATACCACAATAGCAGTGTATTCAAAAAATGTCGTTTCAATGGGAGTCATTGGCACAAAAAGATGACGAAGGACTAAAGGTGTGATTTTTTTTTTAACAGAGTGTATTAAAGAGTTGAGAGATACATTTTCATGACATTTTAAAATTCACCCCAAAATACACACCTGCGGCAAAATCTATGTCATATGCATCAACACAGCCAAAATTATCCACAAAAAAACATCAAAAAATGCACTAGGACTACAGGAGGGTTAAGATAGCACTTTCTAGTAATTGTCGTCATGCAGAGAGTTTGGGTTTGGTTCAGTGAAGCAGGGCTGCAGCTATAAGAACGCTGAGGTCATGACCTTTAACCTCTGCTCTAAACCAACACGAGAATGTATGGCTAAGAAATATATTTTAATTGTTTTTTCCCCCGAAATCCCCCCCAGAAATGACTAAAAACAAGTTGTGCAAAAACAACCTGAATTTCCCTTCTGGGATTAATGAAGTAACCTAAATGTCTCTTTGGGGATTAAAGTGTAGGCTGTAGCTTGTCTTCAATAATTTCAGGGTTCAGTCAGGTTTCTCAGTTTTCTAGTCTGGATCCCACGTTGTTGATACGAAAAGTGCTGATAAACAATATTTATAACATTTAAAACCACTGTATAGGTAGCAAACGAGGGGGCAGGGTGTGAACTACGGGGGGCTGTAAGGGGGGCGGCGGAGTTGAGGAGAAATCCCCTTTTTTTTGGGGCGGCTGTGGCTCAGTGGTAGAGTCGCCGTCTCTCAAGAGGAAATGATCCCCAGCTCCTGCAGCCACATGTCCGATGTGTCCTTGGGCAAGACACTGAACCCCAAGGTGCTCCTGCTGCTTTTTTGTCAGTGTATGAATGGATTAGTTTCTTCTGATGGACTCTTTACTCAGCAGCCTCTACCATCAGTGTGTGAATGTGAAGGTGTGACCTGCAGTGTAAAAGAGCTTTGAGTAGTCAGAAGACTAGATCCTCCTAGACCCCAAATATGATTTTTTCGTTTAAAATCTATTTTATGCCATAGCCCAGGAAGAATCTGTTCTGCTGTGGACTGAACCCACCTGATGGATCTTTGACCCTTAAGTTCAATTTGTGCTTCGGTTAGCAGAAGGAGCGTTGCATCAGTGCTGCAGCTCAAAATTAGTTCACCAGTGCCAGCGTCCATTGCAGGGTGTTCTGTCTTCACTTATGAACAGCGGAGGGAAACAGAGACACCTTGTCCATATTAATACATAGAGTCAATGGTTACAGCATGAGAGAGGGAGTGTTACAAACTAAACTACCTCGATCTGCTCCAGTCAAAGAATAACTGTTTCAATCACCTCCATTCAGTCTTCATGGCTTCATCACCGGACATCAAACTTCCACTTTGATTTGATGAAAAGTTAAACTTAAAGAGCACGACAGACGACCTGAATCAGAGCATTTTGATCCTCTACATTTATAGGAACCTAAAGTATTGTGTGCATATTGAGATACACAGCTGTAGGTGTGTTTATTCTCAGTTGAGCGCTGTTTAAACCGCTGGAGTGTTTACTGAGAAAACGTTTCAGTGCAGGGACCCCATGATTCTTAAATGTGGTCCAAGGCTAGATTGGATTCCTCCAGTGTGCACAGTGAAGCCTTTTGCAGAAGCTCCATGATGTTTATTAAACGGCATGGTAAAGACCTTTAAGCAACGCCCAGAGCCGTCGAGTTCTGGACCATCTCCAGAAACAGATTCAATAAAAGCCTGCAGGAAGCATGCAACGCATAAAGACAGAATGAAACCACTTTAGAGACTTCAGAGTGTTAACCATCTCCTCCTCCTCTCCATGTCAGACTTTACTGCAGCGTTTTGAGGAGACTCTGGCGGAAGCCGCCCCGGAGGAAGAAGACTCTGAAGCCGATTATAATCAGGAGCCCGAACAGAGCCAGACCGGTCGAGGGTGGAGCCCGGAGCACGAGGTGGAGCAGGAAGCTTCGATACCAGAGAGGTCTCAGTCGGCAGCTGAGGGCCGCAGCAGGACGGCAGCGAGCGTGAGGAGCCTCCTGCAGGACCTGCTCACCGCCAGGAAGCGAACCTCCGGGTGCTTCGGAGCCAGAATGGACCGGATAGGGAACGCCAGCGGACTGGGATGCAACAACGGAAGAGGTGAGATACTAAATATTTAAATCTTGGATGAAACCAAGCTAAAGTGTTTCCTCCTTCTTTCAGGCTTTATGCTAAGCTACGCTAACCACAACCACAATTCAGTTTAACTAACGGACAGGAGACGGAAATATTAGTTTGATCCCACACTTTGATAAAACAATATGCAAATCAGACCAACAGATAAGTAAAAATAATAAAAACATCAGGTTAGCTGCTTTGAACTTACAAAACTCAGTGTAGAGCAAAAAGTATTTTAAATTTTCTAAATATTTGGGCGCCGGTGGTTGAGTGGTGAGGGTGCGTGCCCCATGTAGAGAAGCTGTAGTCCTCAAAGTGGGCGGCCCAGGTTCAAATCCGACCTGTGGCTCCCTCCCTGCATGCCCCCCCCCCCCCCCTGTCCCTGATTTCAGACTGTCCTGTCCACAAAAAAAAGCCCCAAAATAAATCTGTCAAACGATTAAATGTTGTAATCGCATGTTGGAAATTAATTGTATTAACTTTGTATTGGACGCGACACTCGAGTAGGGCAAAGGATTATGGGAGGCTTGGCGAGCGGGTGCAGGCACGAGCCTCGAGAAAGGAGTAGGACAAAAGTTGAACTTCAGTGAACAATTTTTAAATGATAGTGGATTCTCCCGTTATGGACAGGAAAAGCTTTTTTCTCCACAGCGTTCAAACAGGAAACAACATGGCTGCTTTTTTCATTAATATCAAAAATACCTTTTTATACATAAACAGTGAACTGAAATCTCATTGGTGCAAAAAATGTGAAATGTACTTTCAGAATCTTGCACCACTTGGCCTAAAAAAAAAGCTTGTTTGACCTCTGTGGTGTATGCTCTGCTTTGAGTGACAGCTGCTTGTTCGCCCACAAGTAGCAGGGAGACTAGGCGACAAGCAAGGTCTCTTTCTTGTCATATGCAGTGGAGCTGCACCGTCACTTGTGGGCTGTTCAGACGCTCCAATAGGAACCAAGCTGATTTTGTCGGTGATGCTCCCTTGCAGCTCGTGCTGTAAGGACGGGCTGCAAAGGAACAAAATGCAATTAATCTTGATAAAACAAAAAGTGTGCATTCATTTCAGAACTAAAAATAAGGCGGTAATCGTTGCTCTGGGATGCTTTGGGCTCAACTGTTGTTAAAGGCTTTATATACGATTTTTTGATCCAGCAGATGTCACCCTTGAGCACCAGCATGAAACCAAAACAACTTGCACTGCATTGTTGTGTTAGCATGCTAATGCTAGCGATCTTTATTATGCTCGTATCTTCACACTGCATGTAAATTTACCTGAAATGAGCGTGATCTAGAAACACAGTTAAGCAGTGAGTACAGTATGTTATTCTTCTTTTCTCTAGTCCCTCAATTAAACAACTTTTATATGTGAGGGGAGGAGTCAGCCGGCCGTCCCGCCGATGTAAACAAACTGAAGATAGGACTCTGAAAACTCTGAAAACATCACAGACAGTGGGACTCGGGTGTTACACCCATTGTAGACAGTCATGACTAACAGAGTTATTTTCAGAAGATATACTTGATTTATATTATATTTAAGTGTGAAAAATCACATAGAAAGACTTTAAGTCCTGGTTGTTTGAGCACCTCCTGTGGTTACCTTAATAGTGTGTGCAGTCAAAAGATGCAAAAAAAAAAATGTGGTCTTCTAGTGGTGTTGAAATTAATTTCAACTTAACAAATATTTTTTTTACTCTTAGCCCCATAGTGTAATTTCTGTGTGAAGTCGGGTTGAGCCGCTGTGTGATTTCTATTATATTTAAGTGTGAAAAATCACATATAAAACCTTTAACACCAAAATCAGCCTGAACAGAAATACTCTCACAGCAGCTTTAAGTGATTTTTATCCCCAAATCTTTCTTATATTTCATATAAACAATAAAGATGGTTTACACATGGTGCATGATTTTTCTTGACCTGCATGTTTTGGTTGTTTCTTTTAGTTGGATGTAACTCACACTTCAGTCTCTTAACGCTGATTTAAATCTAACTGATGAATAAAATCCAGGGATTTTTACATTTCTGTATTTGTGTTATTTTTCCGTTCAGGGTAATCGGAGAGTTTCCGGTTTAAACTCCGAGTGAAGACGCGACACAATGAGGAGGACGTCTGCGTTAGTGACACTTCAATGTATGTTTAAAGTGACCAAGATGATTTCTGATTTATTCACTGTGTAAAATAAATCCTCCAAAAGAGGAAGTGTGAGTCACGTCTCTGCATGTGGGGACACTAACAAAGACAAATAAAACTCTTTTTTTTTTTCATATCATGGATCTGTCCGTTTCTTTAACCATCACACTGGAAGATTTCTAACAGTAGTGTTGTAATACTCCAAGACCGGTCTCTAGACCGAAGTTCTCGTCTCGGAATCAAAAGCAGTCTTGTCTCGGTTCTTCCTAAAAGAACAAATAACTTCAATTCATTCATAATTTGATTTTTAACCCCTGGGGTTACGGCCGCATCAATTCCCTGTGTTACGGTCTAAGTGAGTGACACGCCCCCCCTGTACATATGATGAGGATTTTTCTGTGATATTTATGGTCTTAGTCTTGACTCGGTCTCGATCCCTAATGCCCCGTTTCCACCAAGCAGTCTGGTTTGGTTCAGAACAGTTTGGTACAGTAAACCCTGAATTTGCTTTTGTTTCCACATCCAACCTTCCCTTTATTTGTTAAACTGAGTGTAAGCCAGATGGAGATAGCCGCGGCAGCTATGTAATAGTGTGACATCACAGCAGCCCAACACAGTGTAGCCCGCTTTTAATGAAGTTCAACAAAGAAGAAGAAGAACGGGATAGAGTAAACAAAAGGGACTCTTTAGGGTCAGATCGGTACCCTTGACTCCCCAACAGAAAGGTACCAAAAAAGTAGGATGGTACGGATCCCTTATTTTGGTACCATTCCCAACTTTTGACGGTGGAAACGACAATAAATGGGTACCATACCGAAACTGAACTGGACCGCTTGTTTGAAACAAGGCTTAAAAGTCTTGGTCTTGTCTCGGAGCACTCTGGTCTCGGTTAGTGTGGTCTTGACTTCAACACTAAACAGTTGTTTTATTCATATCTTCAAACCCGCAGCAGCAGTGTGTGTCCAGCCTGTGCTGCTGCTGCTGTTGACACCTGATTTCATGCCGCAGAGTCAGCGTGACATCAGCTAAAGCATCACTTTACCTGACGTGACACATTGAGTGGACAATTATAACGCTCTGTTGTCAAAGGAACAGCGGGATGAGATAAGACTCTTTTTTTTATGTTCATACAATCAGTGGAAGACAAACACAGAGTCGCCCTGTAGTACATGACTGTGTTATTGTTTAACAATCATAAAGTCAAAACTCCTGCAAGCTAATGCTAATTTGTTTTGTTGTGCTGATTGTTAAGGTCGGAAAGAGGACAATCATCTGTTCAGTATGTTTGTTTTTTTAATTAGGTCCATAAGGGCTCAGGGTTTAGGGAGGACATCAAGATTCAGCCTTTAATGTGAAAACAGTTGCTCAGATTTTTACAATGTTAACGCGACTGGAGCATAACAGTAAGACTCGAGAACAACATTTGGGCCTCCGACCCTGAGTGTGACGTCACAGCAACATGGCTGCTGTGGGAATATCGTCTTTAAAGAGAACCTATTATCCCCCTTTTCCACCTTTTCAAACAGCTCCCTGTGGTCTAAATGAAACATCTGTGAATAAAACATGCATGCAAGTTACTTAAATGTGCGTGCAAATTATGAAATGCACGTGCAAAAATAAGTACAAATTACTAAATCATGCATGCATTTTAGTAAAGATGAATTTCTTCAACAGGTGTGCGAAACAGAAAGCACATGTCCTCATCACCTCCTGGGCTATGTAGTTCTTGACTAATGTTAATTTGATGCTTTATTTCTGTTCATCTGCTGCTTCTTTGACATGACACACTTATATATATATAAAATGCTGTTACTGCACTAACAACATTAAGCCTCTCTCTCACTCAAAGCATGCTGGGATACACTCCAGCCCCTGGTCAAACCTGATCAGGGTAAAGGAGAAACACGGATCAAGAGGAGGAAACTTATTCCCAGCTGTCAGATGTCAAATAAAAGTGATTACATGGATACAAAGTGAGTCACGGTGGTGATTCAGCCGTTAAATACTTGCTGTCTAACTTCATGTGACAGGCTCGCTGCCTGGTGACGTCACTGTCACACTCCTCTGTCTGCTCTCATTATAGCGATCAATTAAACTTTATTAATACACCTGAGAAACTTTTCACCAGCCCCAACAGCAGCTGCACACTGACTGACCTGAGTCCAGATTTCACTCCGGGATTTCAGTTCAGGAAATGTGCTGATGATGGTTTGATGCATGTGATAAAGTAGCGCCCTCTTGTGGTTCACTTCAAATTTTTATTTTTAAAATCAGTTTTAAAGGTCCCATATTTTGCTTTTTCTGGTTTTATATGCCCTTTAGTGTGTTTTCCAAGTGTCCTGTGCATGTTTAGGCACATCTATGTGCAAAAATTCAAAGTCTGCGGAAACGCGGCTTCTCCTACCTCCTCCTGTTAGCTGTAGCATTAGCCGCATGTAAAGCTCGGTTCTAGCCCCCCTCGATAAAAATTTGTCAGTGCGGCGTCATTGTCAGTGTGAGATCACTGATGCGTGCTGAGCAAATGACCAATAACGACAGAGCGGATCGGCAGACCAATCAGAGCAGACTTGGCCCATGTGGGGTCTAACAGTGTGGGCTCAACAGAGTGCAGCTGACGGACTCAGAGCGTAGAGGGAGCAAGGAGGAGCAGTACATGAAAACAGACACTTTTTTCAGACTTTAGCTATTGTGAACGTACAAAAGTAGGTACATAGATTAAATATACAAACCCCAAAAAGGGCATAATATGGGCTCTTTAATTCTATTGTTGCTTCTATTGTTTAATTCTATATGTACTTTTATTACATATGTTACACTAAAAATATGATGAATAAAGGTGAACTATGACATAAAAAATAAAACAAAACATTTATTGATTAAATGAAGTAACTTAAGTTTAAGTTTTGATCTTATCACATTTTGTTATAAAAAAACATGAAAACATTAAATTAACTTAAGTTTAACTTCACTCAAATTTTAAAAAAGTCTAAAATTTTCTTGGAGTAGCAATCTGTAGCTCTGACACCTAGTGTTTAAAATGGGTACTGCAGTCCAAATTCAAAACATTGTTTTGAATATATATGTATATATGTCAGATATTACATTTATATTTTCAAAAAAAGCAAGTAAGACTTTGATTAAAAACTAATATAATACGTTTAAATGAAGATTTACTGATTTAAATGAAATAAAATAATAATAAAACATTATTAGCAGCCCCAGGATGAAAAAAGACACAACGGCGCCATCTGGCGTTCATTCAGTGGTAATGCAATCCCACTGCGCAAATCCCCGCCTGAAAAAACGAGTATTTTAACTTAATTTCGTTTTAAATTAGGTATAATCAAAAAAATAAATTATGATGGAACTATGAATCAAAACTTTAACTTGAAATACACGATTCGGCAGACATCACACTCACCAGAGAGCAAATCATATCAGCTAAATGTAGACTACACTTTTCTTATTCTTGTTAAATCTTAACAAACCAAAGGCTGGCTGCTTCTGTGTTCGCCGAATGTAAGGTAGAATCTTATACTTCTTCAACATGTAAGGGATGGGATATCATTTAAATCTTTACAGCTGTGGCATCATATGCTCCATAAAACGTCTCCGCCCCAAACTACAAACCGGCTGTTCTTCTTCTGCTGCTTGTAGTTAATCTGCTGTTCCAGCGGGACAGAGAGAGAGAGAGAGAGAGAGAGAGAGAGAGAGAGAGAGAGAGAGAGAGAGAGAGAGAGAGAGAGAGAGAGAGAGAGAGAGAGACAGAGAGAGAGAGAGACAGAGAGAGACAGAGAGAGAGAGAGACAGAGAGAGAGAGAGAGAGAGAGAGAGCGGGACAGAGAGAGGAAGAGGAGGAGGAGGGGAAGGAGGAGCAAGGGAAACACAACAGGAAAACCCAGGAAAGAAGAAGCTTGTTCTTGGGGAATCCTGTGTTTGACCAAAGCCATGTTTTTGGAGTAAAGAGTGCGGGGAAACTGCGGGGAAGCTGCGGGACAGCCGGAGGACTACGGTGTTAGCAGGACGTCAAGGTGAGCAATGAGGAGATCATGTAAGGGGGTTGCTTTAGGTGAATACTTCTCCTTTCTTTGGTTCATTCTTCTTGGGAGTGTCACAGACTGCGAGACTGTTGATACTAAAATACAGTTTAAAATCTATGTTGATCTTAAACATGACCTCGAGTCTGCAGGTGAGAGAAACACTGAAGTAAATGAGGACTGAACAAACTCAAAACCGTGAAAAACATAAATGTGAGTTCAGCTGAAAGTGCATAGTTCAGTGTTTGGATTATGAGTCTGTAGTCTGCCTTGTTGTCCAGAAGGATTCATTCTTAAAAAGTAAAATCTGCTTTACTGGCATTAGACTTTAAGATGAAAGAAACTGCTTTAAAGAGTTTATAATGACATAATAACTGTCAACATACATTTCCCACATGGCCAGACTACACAACCACACTGTACTCTAAATGATACACGATTTAAATGCAAGAAAAAAATATATAGATTTGCGACACATTAGTACAAAATAAGGTGATGTATGCACACTGATTGGTCAAAAATGACATGAGCAGAATTAGAGGGACTGTGGTGGTGACAGCAACATGACAGTCAGTGTGCGGTGCATGACCTGCTGACAGGGACAATCAGGTTTACGAATGCATGTGACCTTTTAAAGGAGCAGCACAGACTGCGGGGTTTATGCTAAGGTGTGTCTGCACCATCTTTACATCTATAGCTGACTGTGCTGTTGCTGCAGCAGCAGACAGTTCTGCTCCAGGGAGAACAAATCTGCGTGCAACCTGCACAGGGCAATGTCCACTCGGTTACTTAGTTTTTAAGACAGTTTTATTATTGGTTAGTTTGCAGCATAGAGACAATTTCAACCATGAGCTCATAGTTTTACTCCTGCAGGGCATAGAGGATGCTACGGTTAAGTTGTGAATTGTGATGTTTAGTTTGGTGCAGGAGAAAAGCATCAACGTTTTCTACATTTAAAGGTGACATATTCTGTAAAACACACTTCCCCATGTTTCTCTAACACTAATATGTGTCTCTAGTCTATCTACAAACCCCCCAATGATGAGAAAAGTCCATCCTCTCTGTCTTTTGCCTGCTCCACTTTTCAGAAAACGTGTGCTCAAACAGGCTGTTTGGAGATTTTCCCTTCATGACATCACAAAGGGCAGTAGCCCCTCCCCCAGGTGGGTGACACTCCCACAGCTAGGTGTTTGTTCTGCCCTCTGAGTCTGCCTTCTCACCGTAAACAATAGGACATGGAGCGAGAAAGCACCGACTACACCCAAGCCCTTCCAGAGAGGGGGCGTGGTCAGACACAGCTCATTTACATATTTAAAGGTACAGACACAGAAACAGCCTGTTCTGAGCAGGGCTGAAATAGAGGTGTTTATAGACATGATCAAATACAGGATCAGAGTGGATTTAGAACAAGAAACTTCACACATGTTTTGAGGAGCACTGAGATTTATTTACACTGAAGAGGAGGAGGATATGTCACCTTTAAGCAAAACGTTTTTTACAGCCTCTTGTTATTTACCCATCAGATTATGAGATATACATTTGGTTCTTCATATATGCACAACGACAGGGAAGTTCATAGAGAGACCAAAATAGAAACTTCCTGGCAGGAACGATCCATCGGCTGTAATGTAGACGTAGCTGTTTGGTTTAAAAGTGAGGCTAAAGAGGAAGTATCTTAATCCTGCTTTGTGTGCTTTGGGGGCGGTGGTAGCTCTGTCTGTAGGGACTTGGGTTGGAATCCTGAAGGTCATGTCCTCATGTCCTCATGACCTCATGACCTCAGGGTCTAATTTATTACAGCATGACGCTCATTTAGTAAAGTATTAATGTATGTAAGTATGGACCCACATTCTGGTCCAAATATGGTTTTTCTTGGCTTCCAAAAATCTAAATAGGGGCAAGGCATGATCTGACTGACTGCACAGTCATTAAAAAATCATCAATCAAGCGTTTATTTCCTGTGATCGCTGCACGACCGTAGACTGTCTGGAATAAATCTGCTCACTTTTTCAAACGTGTCAAACCGGCTCAATAAGTGACCGCCTGATGTTTTTCTTCACTTGGCTCTGATCCCAACGAGGGCAGAAAACACTTAGTATTCATCGGCGCTCGGTGAAAACATTATGCAAGAATGTGCATTCATGTTGTTTCCACGTTTGTCTCTGGGCTTTTAACTGAATGCTGTCATGACTGTGGGAGTCACTAGATCACTTTCTGAAGACAATCCAGCGGCTGTTTCCCACAGCTCGGCTCGGCTCGCTCTGCCGCTGTCCTCTCGGCTGCAGCCCACGGTGTCTTCTTCAGAACGATATACAGACTCCTGAATTATTCATCTGCTTTGGTTTTTAATTCAAACTCTGCACAAGAGGTTGTTCTTCTTCTCCTCCTTCATCTGAATATTTACATCCTCACACGCTAATAAATAACAGGAGCCTCCTGAAAGCTGCAGGGTTCATGTGTGTGGTGGTGAGAACGGGTCCTGACCTCGCACAAGACACATTTGTACGTCTACTTCTCCTTTTTTCCTGGGAATTACACAGGTGCTGTTGTCAAGTTTAAGCGGCTCGTCTTGCGGTTGAGTTTAACAGTTTGGGGAAAAGACACGTCTGGATTTGCTGTACAGGAATGTAACGCGTTGCTTCGGGCAAAATGCAGCTAACACAACCGCTTGTCAACATGGATAAACACCACTCTCCTTCAGTGTATCCGTGAATCCCTAGAGGTGAATGTGGGAGGGAAGTTCAGAAATCCTTAAAAATCCTCCTGGAACATCTCATACCAGTTACTTTTAATCATAGGTAGGCCTGATGGTGTTTAAATGTGCTTTCTTATTTCCTGAGTTCACTGTCAGGTTATACTCTTTGTAATAACGTTTAATTCTTCTTGTGCTTTATGGAAAAAGGGGTGCTTAAAATGCCAACATGTGACTTTGTTTCCCACCAATCAAAACATCTGCCTGCTTGTTTGCTATCCTTCTGGACAATAAAAAAATCAACACGCTGTAGCTTTAAAGATCCAATCAGTGAGATGATAAAGTGATCTTACTGTATGATCAGACATTAAGGAAACATGCTATGTTGAAGTGCTGGCTTCTCTGACAACAATGCAGCAGCCAGTATGTCCTCCTTCTAACTTTAGATTCTGGTCCTGAATGCTCTGGATTTGTTTGGAACCAGAGAAGGTAGACGGTTTTAAGGCGACCCCCCGACGCGGCCGTTTTGGACACCCCTCGGTTTGCCAGATATGAGAGCAGTTATCAGGTCAACAGGTGTTGCAGCGATGGAAGCGGGCAAGAGAAGTGGTTCAGATAGAAGTGATTGTACCCGACCTAAAAAGCCTCTGCATGTTTCTAATAAGCTCCACGAGCAGAAACGTGCTCAAACTAGGATCAATATTGGAGATGCTTTTGAAAAATGGAGAGAGGTTAGAACACAGAAAGGTTTACAGACCCATGCAGAGCTGGATAAACACTGAAGCTTCAGTGTCCACCACATGGTGACCTGCGTGAGCATCGAGGGGAGGGGGGGGAATCTGTGTTGGTTTGCTCTGGCCTTCAGTTTGATCTGAAACTCATCAGATCATGTGTGCTGTGACGTTTGCTTCAGGATCTTGGCTCCCTCCCTGTGTTTAGTAGTACAAAGCCGGTGCATTGTTGGTTTGTTAGTCAGTGTAGCGTGCAGTGACTGGAACGTGCTGTTTACTGTCAGAAGTCCTGAACGACAGCACTGACTCACACACAGATCAACGTGCGTCTCTTCTGTGTCTGACACGTCTCAACAGCAAAGTTTGATTTCAGGTCGTGTCTGTTTGGGATGTCGAGGGCAGAAGAGTTTTTACTTTGATTTCATTCTGACTTTTATTTCAATTTCAGTTTGAATCCATTTGTTAGTTTCAGTTTGGTTTTTCTTCTTCTTCTTGTTAGTTTTAGTTTTTGTTGGCTCTGTATCGTAAAAAGTTCAGACAAAGATATCAAGCAACTTCAGGATACGGTGGGGGCAGAGAGCAGGGGGAAGACGTGCTGCAAAGGGCCGAGGTTGGATTCGAACCCACGGCAGCTGCAGAGAGGACTTTGCTCTCATGCTGTTAACATGAGGGGACCTCGTATTAAGTGCATGATTCCCCCCGTCAACAAGACGTGCTGCATGCTGGATGGAGGAGGCAGACCCAATCACAAGTCGTAAACTGTTCACAGATTCTCTAACTCAAATGATTTTGAAGTTGTATTTATTTTTATTTCTGTAGTTTTCATGAACCCTGAAAACCTCGGTGAGTTTTGATGTTCATCGTCTCTCTGTGTGATGAGTCTAATGATGTGATTTTTCTTTTTTCTTTTTTTTTAAGGTGCTGATGTGACCCCTGAGAAGGACCCACAATGACCTCTCCAAGTCCACTGCTCTGTCATCCTGTGGGTGAGTCATTCAGCCAAATCAAGCGCTTCTCAATTGGTGGGTTTCTACCCTAAAGAGAGCCAGGGTCAACGGGCCACCGAAGTGTGCCTGGGATGACAAACTGTTGCTGAAAGTGTGCTCTGAGAGCGTGTTTGTTTTGTTCCACCTGGGGTCCAAACTGCACCGTCTTCCATTGAATGAACCCGAGTGGTTGAAAATGGAGACAGAAATCCAAATGTTCAGGGCTGAAGTGGACTCAGACTCAGACTCAGGGGATCCAGCCTGACTCATTAATCCCCTGCTGCTCTGATGAACGGGCCTACTACCCCACTTAGGTACTTCATACTGTGTAAGAAGGAGCAAGCCTCTGCAGGCCATATGCTGCTCTGATAACCTCGACACAAATCAGGCTGTGGGACAGATCAGATTCCTCATGATGGAGAGAAAGGGCTGCAGCTTTTACTCAATGCACTTTATCTAGTTTAATCAAATGAATCCAGAAGAATCCATTTAGAGATGTGATGATTTGTTTACTCTGCACATCAGTCTTTAAATCCTGACAAATTAAAAACATGAAAGAGTCCCTAAAACCCGCCCCTCTCAGTCCGGATCCCTGAGGCTGGTTCTGGCTTTCTCAGGTACCTCCTCCTCCTTTTTGGTGGCTCTGTTGTGTGTGTGTGTGTGTGTGTGTGTGTGTTTGTTGTGGTGTGATTAGGATGGACAGGTGAAGGGTCAGTGCTTAAAAGCCATATGTTTAGAGTGTAATCTCTCTGACTAACAGCTCCTCCTCGTTGTGTCTCCACGGGGACTAATCCTGTGTGTTCACGTCCTGCTGTTTCTCCTGCTGCTCGCTGCACCACCGGGTAATCTGTCAACAAGTTGTACGCACCCAAGAAGAAGGAAACCACCTGTTTGGTATCAAACCTGTTGTCCAGATATAGTCACTTCTGGATCAGAAAACTAAGATGATACAAAGCTCAAAACAGCATCAAGTAGAGCTGGGAGGTATAACCTCAAATCAATATCACGATTAATTGAACATTTGACCTCGATTACGATTAATGAACGATTATTTGTTTTTTGCCCTCATAGTTCACTGACATGGTCTCTACTGTACATAAACTCAACTATTAAAGCTGGGATATGTTTTCCAGTGTTTCCCCTACCATTATATTACAACAGCCTCCCCGCCCTCCCTGAAAGTCAAGTAAAAAAAAAAAGTTAAAAATAAATAAATAAATATATATTTTTAAAGATTTTTTGGGGGATTTTTGTGCCTTTATTGTAGAGATAGGATAGTGGATAGAGTCGGAAATCAGGGAAAGAAGTCATTTAAGGATACCTTTCCAATAGAAAAGGACAGCTGTCATTAAAAGTAATGCATGAACACCAAGATTCCTTCAAGTGTTTGTGTCGCCGTGTCGGCTTGTCCCCACCCCCCCAACGCTGTAAACCTAGGGGAAACACTGTTTTCTAATGAAAGAGTGCATATCTGATTAACTCTTTTGTGGTTATTTATTGAATATTTCAAACTGAAATCAAAGCATCGCTTGAAATTAAAACGACACATTTTAGTTGTAAAGTAGAAATGAACTTCTCTTAAACAGCAGAAAATAAATAAATAGTATTTCTTCAAACTTTTCCGCATTGTTTACATTTAACTTCATTTTGTTCGGTGTCGTCTTCCCTAAAGACAAAATGTGTCCAAACGACGCGTCACATGACTCTGCCCTAAAAATAATCAAAATAATCCACAACTCTTCTACTTAATTCAGACAGTTTTTGACACTTTTGTCTTTAAACTAATAGGCAGATGATGTTGGTCAGTAGCAGAACTTTGATCTTACATGGCCTGTAAAGTACCTGTCTGCAGTTTACAATTACCATGCTAATGTGTGTGAGTGTAAAGATATTCACTGTTTAAATTGTAATTGTGTTTAGCTTCGTTTGTGTTTTTTGTGTGTGTGTGAGTGTGTGCGCCTGTGAGTTTGTTTGTGTGTTTGTATGTGTTTGAGTGTGTCGGTGACTGTGTGAGTATGTCGGTGACTGTGTGTGTGTGCGCCTGTGTGTGTGTGTGTGTGTTCAGGTTCCCCTGGTTGTCCTCTGGTTCTGTCAGGCTGTGATACATTTTGCAGCTATAATCAGTTTTTCTCCTGGTGAATACGGGAGTTTTTTTTTGTGTGTGTGTTGTTTGTTCAAACTCAAGGTGTGTGTGTGTGTGTGTGTGTGTGTGTGTGTGTGTGTGTGTGTGTGTGTGTGTGTGTGTGTGTGTGTGCTATCTGGGGGCATGATGTGAGGAGGTGGAGCTCTGTCTCTACCTGTTGGGTCTCACACTGAGAGCAGTGTCTGGTCTCTTCTTGGAGTTAGCTCTTTTTTGTAGCGACCCAAGTCATGAGTCTGAACACCGTCAGGACTTTTCTCAGTGTAGTGATTTTTAAAGCGCTCAGGTGATCTGCCAATGTGTAGTCTCTGATTAGCGCCAAATGTCTTTAAAATGTTGTCTTCTCCTTCCAATATTTCACAGTTTTCTTTTTGTTGCCTGACAAATGTTGAACAGACAGAAAAAACAAAATCCTGACGACTTGTTTCGAGTTGATCCCTGTACCAGTTTGGGGCAGTGTGTGATGTAAACAGATTTCTGAATATTTGACCTTCTTCTCTCCTCAGCGTCTCTTCCAAACGGGACGTCACACGCGCAGGAAGATGAGGACGATGAAGACGAGCAGGGGGAGAAGTTTGAGTTTGACGATGAGGACGACGTGGAGCCTCCACAGATGAGTTCTGTCTCTACAAAAAGCGACTTGACCACAGAAGGGTCGAAGGTGACGACGCAGGGCGTGAACGGAAAGAGCAACGAGCCCTCGCCGTACCCACAGCACTGCTCCGGTGAGAACGACATGTTTATAATCAGTGTGATTAATTTCAAATGAAGATTCATGTTCATGAAGATCAAAGAACTATGATATTATTTTTCTGTATTTCTCAGGTATGGAGGTCAGGGAGTCGCCCGAGGGGTAAGTCAGGATGAATTTTTCTTTAACACAATATTTGAAAAAAATGTTAAGTCAGAACTTCTGTTTTGTCACATAACTCTAAGGCGTTATGCAGGAGAAAATCCCTCTGCTCACAGCTGAAGTCCTGACATCTTCAGGACTTAATGATTAAAAAAAACATGTTTATTTATGTCTGTACAGGCCAGTTAATACACCTACAATACAAGTAAAAAAATGTTCTACAGGTGTTTATTTTACAATGTAGTGTAGATGAAGAAACAGCATTTTTCAGGATTCAGTTGCTCTCTTCAACCTGACCACTAGATGGCACTTTAATCCTTCCTTTAAATGTTTCTGTGAACTAAGAAGAAGAGAAAGGTCAGCTGGACTTATAGGTGGAAAGATGATTGAATTTCTGCTGCAGAGAGATAATCTGAGACACATTAGAGACACATTTCATAGCAACAAAACATCGATTAGAAAAATGTATCCGTTATTAATCCCGAGAGGGGAAATTCAGTTTTACACTCTGTTGTTGAAGCATGCTACACACACACACACACACACACACACACACACAGGCTGAAATACACACACATGCACAAACAGGATCCTGAGGACATGCACTGATGGAGAGATGTCAGAGTGAGGTGCAGAGGGCACTCCTGGGATGGTGGGAGCCTTGCTCAAGGGCACCTCGGCAGTGCTCAGGAAGTGACCTGGCACCTCTCCAGCTACCAGACCAGTATCCAGAGTTGGTCCACACTGGGACTTGAACCAGTGACCTTCCGGTTCCCAACCCAAGTTCAGACTGAGCGATTACCGCCCCCAAAAACAGATTACATAACCGAGTGAGCAGCATTACGTATTGAAGAAGTAATGCTTGAAGTCAAGACAGAAATCATATGAAGTATTTTAGTATCATGAGCAGTAACTCTGATGTAGAGGGTTTGAAACAGTCTGAAGACTTTGACATGGTACTATATTTTAAGAATCCCTTTTCAGCGCTTCACTTCAAACCTCGAAGTGAATCGAATCCTCAGACAGCCAAAGATTCCCAGCCCTAGTTGTACTCCCTCCACTGTAGTTTGCCACAATAGAGGCCAAAACAGCGTCTTGCACAGGGTCCCCAAAAAGCCAGAAACAGCCCCGATTGTAACCGTTCTCTCAGAGTAACGTCTGATTTCAATCCCCTGGATCGTTGTTGCCTCATTAAAAGGAGAATGTTGAGTTTAATGGTGTATCTGAAATGACTGGAAATTAAGATTTAACCACAAACATTAATGCATAGGACAGGGTTTAATCAAACTCTGTATTCAAGAAGTTTAAAACACGTAGCACCGTCCTAATCCATGAAAAGAGGTCACACTCTGACCTCTAAATGTGACCTCCTGTAACCCTCAGCCTCTGTGTTTCATGAAGAATCGTGTATCCTCAAACTGCTTATTGACAAATAAAATATGTATTCTTTTTTTTGATGCTTTTTTATTTAAGAAAAAAGAGAAAGAAAAGAAAATACAAAGAAACCCATTGGACTTAAAAGATTTGACAACAAGCATTTCCTATTCTTTTCTCTTTTCTTTTTTTGTCCCCACCCTCATGCTGCCAATACAAAGTCTATATGTAAGGTAGTAACTGTACAGGGAATGATAGTACTATTTAATACATACAAAACAAAGCAAAAGATAATGATAATAAATAAAGAGGAAAAAAAACCTAAAATAAAATATGTATTCTTTGGAGTCACTGTGGAGATATGAAATAGATAAATGTTCAAAATGCTCTGAATGACCTTCAGATGAATTTCTGTGTTGCAGTCGTTCCACCTCCTCTGACCTGGGAGTGACGGGAGACTCTGAGAGTTTCTGGACGGGGAGCTGTATCTATGAAGGTAAGACATGAGAGGAGCAGCGGTGTGAGATGTGACAGTGTCGTTGAAGCAGAGCTGTTTGTTTTTTGTGATCATGTGCTCACCGGAGCGAGGATGTTTTTTTTTTGTTTTTTTTGTGTGTTTTTGCTTGTTTTGCACTCGGACAGCACAAGTGACACATCGGGCCAAGGAGTGGCTCTGTGTGGTGTCGGAGCTCACGCTGCGGATAAACAAAGGTACTTCATGTGTAGTGTTAGCTGTGGTGAGAGCTAGCTGGTAGCAAAGGTGACATGATGTGTTTGAGTGAGGTGAACGCTCACTGTCGAGTAGGAATAGATCCCAAAGTCTGGTAGATATTTCCCAAATGGTGAATGACGCCGGTTTTAGTAATGGCTTTCCTGTGTTCCTGGGGTCACATCGCAAAAGAACAAAAGTAGAAGCTTCAAAATAAGCCATAGCCCTACACCTTTAAGATCCTGTATTCTCCTCATGTTCACCCTTCATGATGTCAGACTGTGAAACCTATAGAGCATAACTTCATTATTTATCTGATGCTGATGTCAGTAAAAACCCTCATTTCAGCCTCTTCCTGAAACGGTTTGTTTCAGCTGCTGTCTCTTTAAGCCCCCCTCCCCACTTGCCCACTCTCTTCTGATTGGCCGTCTCTCTGGAAGCCTTCAGTGAGTGCAGAACGATGCAGAGCTGCCAGGGGAGAGCTGGTTTTCACAGCTTAGGTCGAGGCTTGAAGCCGTTTGGTAAAAATTCTTGGTTTCATATCGAGGAACAAACGCGTGATTTGCAGATCAAGCCGTTTAGCGCCCTCTGCAGACTCATCCTGGGATCACTCCGACATACGTTTACCTCATGATCTGACACTTTGCCCACGTTTAGTTTGAGCATCCAGCATGGTAACACTATATGTGAGTATGAAAACGGGGATCAGCAGTAGAGGTCAACTTAAATAAAAGGTTTTTCATTCAGCAGTGAGTGAGACAACAAATTGAGCCGTGAGAGTAAACTTTGAGAAAAGCCAGGAGTGTCACATCAGTGGGCTGTAAGTGGTTGATTTTCGCATTTTAAAACCAGGCACATCTGACCAAGTGATGAACTTTTGCGAAGACTATTGTTAGTACAATTTTTCATGAAATTCATTAATCTTGGTAACTTCGTGAAATGTATTATTCAAGTCTGCCTACCACCTGTTAGCACTCCTACCTTTAGGTGTCTGAAGCTGTAACCTTATATGAGTGAAGCACCTAAGTAGTAGCAGATCTATGTTTGGATAGGAGCCAACCATATGTTGTCAGCAACTGTTTGCTAGACAAAGAGTCTACAGTTGTTTCGTATACAAATCAGTGTCATGTCATCTTTATTGTTTTATGGTGATGTACCCAAATGGAAAGGAATTTGTGGGTTGCACCTTTTTGACAGAATATAAGCAGCACTGTGAACACTGTTACTTTGTCAGCACTTTGTCAGTCAAGTGATTTGGAAGCGTGCTTGTTTGATGAAGTTGTCTGACCTCGGCCGATTAAATGGTGTTATAATCTCCAGTCTGTTTCACGATTTCTTCATTGGATTTAGAAAAACAGAAACAACCCCCACCTAACAACTATCAAATCACTGAGTATTGTGTAGTTTAAGAAGGATTTAGAGGCGGTGTGCACAGGAGCCAGGAAACAGAGATACTCCATGTGTTCGAGCTAGCTGTTAGCTTTCAGAATAGCTCGCGTCCTTTTGCTCCCATTTAGATATTTAAGAGCTTAACTCCATCTGTCTGTGGTTGTACATGTCATACTTTCAGTGTGTTTGTGTATCATGGCCGTCCTTACAGGTCACCGTTTATGTTTAAGATTCCTGCATCATGAATTCAAAAGAGTAATCTCCCCGAAGGCAGGGAAGCTTTTTTATAAAAGAAGTCCTCATGCAGAGGGTCAAACTTCCTGTACGGGAATTTAATGCTCTGCTCAAAAACAACAACAACAACACTCGGTTTGTGGCTCTGTGAATGAAATTTAATTTCCTCTGCTTTGTTTTTGCAAGAAAAAGGGTACACACATATTTGCATCATGACACAGGATTCCCCTTTCAAACAAGAACAGCAGCGTATTTCAAATAGCATTCCTTCACAAAATCTCGTAAACCAGAACATATTCTAAATGCAAGTTTCGCAAAGCCGGGCTAAACAACAACTACTACAACAACAACACCAGGGAACATCAGTCTTATTGATCACTAATGAGCTGTACAGATTTAGGCATCAGTGCATATGAACCCGAGTTAAATCGAGGTTGTTCTGTATAGGAATATTCTGTAAGAATTTTTTTAGAATGGGTGTGTATGTGACTTCCTGTGCTTCTGCAGGATTTTGCACTTCAGTATTGGCTTCATTTTTCAACGTACACACAATAAAAGGAAAACTCAAGTGCATTAAAATGAAGACAAGAAGGTCATCTAAAAAGATGATTAACTTAGAGATAAAATATTTTTTTCAGAATTTTTATAAGAATATTTTAAGCTTTAAGAGATTTAAAGGTTGAGACAGAGTTAGCGAACCGGATTTCACCAGAGTTTTGGAGCTCGGCCTGCAGAAGCCTAACTTTGTCTCTTATGTGTTTTTCTGTTATTCCATTTTTTACCCTGAATTTTGTCTCAACGTTATACTGCAAATCTGCAATCCTACAATTAATGTATTAGACATTTTTATCCAAAGTGACGAACATCAGAGAGTAAGAACAACAAAAGCAAGGATCTAAAGAGGAGGAAACAATGTGAGCTGTAAGTCAGATTGGACACACAGGTACTGACAGGAAGTGACCAGAGGCAGAGCACCACATCGACAGCTGTGGCACTTTGCATCACCAGTATTTTTCTGTTTCCTGCAGCGGGGACCTTTAACATCGATGCGCTGTGTAATAATGTTTTGCAGGAAAGGATTCTTTAATGCCTGAAGGCGGTCAGGACGAGTCCAGCTGCGCAGTAAACGGGTGCAGCCCACATCAGGACCCCGCTGAGGACGAGGAGTCCTCTTCAGTCCGTCCTCAGACTGAACCTCACCCTGCAGACGTAGAAGGACTGAAAAACACGACCACGGTGACCCCCTGCAGCCCGGACGCCGTGTTCAGAGACCCCGAGGTGGTTTATGATGATGTGCCTGCAGAGGGCCTGCAGCACCCGATGGAAGGCGAGTATTTTTTCTATATCGATCAAAATCATTAACATCATAATAAGAAGTGGATGTAGCCTCTTTTCCTTCTGAGTGAAGCTGATGTGGAGGTGCTTAAACCTGCATTAAGTTAAATGGCCAGCAGGGGGCGACCATCAACTTCTGTTTCTGTAAAATCTAGAAGAAAACAAGTACACATTTTTAAGTTTTATGGTCTCAAGCTCTGATTTGAAGTCTTCTTCAAACAACATGTCTTGTTTAGTTTTTGATAAAGGTCGGGGTGACCCCTAAAAGTCGGATATTCAACTGGACGTATGAAGGAGCGTCATGTGACTGCCGATCTCACAGTCGATACTCAGAGATCATTCCATTACAGCTATGTGGGGGTGTTCAATGTCTAACAGTTTTACCCAAAACATTCATGACTCAAAAAGCCTATCTTTGTATAAATATCAACTTATTGTGTCGTAAAATAGACGTCAAGTAAACTAAATACAAGAAAAACAAACTATACCCAATTTCACCCCCACCCCCCGTGACATCATGGCGGATAGTCTGCTTCAACAAGCTGGCTCAAGCACAAGATCTTTGTCTGCCCTACCACATTTATATAATGCAGGACTAAACTAATAACAAATCAAACTAATTGTGTAAACTGTGTGTTTGAGTGTGATGTTACCCCTGTGTACATTTATTGCTCAGCCCTTTTGTAGGAGAAGAAGCACATGTAGTAAACTGTTTTAGGAGACAGTTTGTTTTGTTTAACTGTTGTTCTCTTCTTTGTATAGATGTCGACGATATCTACGAGGACATCCAGAGACCTGATCACCACCGCAGCTCCAACGGCTGGAGCTCCAGTGAGTTTGAGAGTTACGATGAGATGTCTGACAGCGGCAGTGTTTCTCCAACCGCACAAAGCAGCAGCAAGGTAACGTACTCAGAGATTATACACACCATCACTGGTGTTATGCAGACAGATGTTCTCGTCCTCTTTTAGAAACAGGAAGGAATGAACAGCAAAATAAATGCTGTGATATTACATCCTTTAACAAACACTCTGACCTCATGCATAAAAGTAACATACATAAATAAACAGATTCCTGCAGTGGTGACATATTGCACGGCCCCGTGGCACTTCATCCTACATGACCTCTAACTCACAGCCAGATGAACGTTTAGAGCGAGCGGTTTCAGCCGGGTCTGAGAGAATTAAAAATACATAAATGTAGATGATAGAAAAACATTGTCTGTGTGCAGTCATGTTTAGAAGAGCTGCAGTTGAAGAGGTTTGCGTCATCACAACAGATGTGACATGTTTGTCATGTATGAAGGACGCCTGCTCATCAAACTGCTTTCACTTCCACTTTTTCCCTCTTCCTTTCCTTTTTCTATTTATACCAGAATTTACTTCCCGGCAGCCATTTCCGTTTCCTTCTGTTGTTCCTGACTTCTTTAAAAAACATCTTATATTTCAGAAATGTTCGATTTTTTGAGTTAGTTAAAGGTGTAATGGCACGTGTCCTTTCGTGGCGCGGTTATTACAGAGCCTACATGTTTATTGTTGCTCAAAGCAGGGCGAGACATTTAGCTCACTTTATGTGCAGAGACTCAAGTTGTCTCAAGTGCTGACCTTGACCCTTGACCCTTTGCTCCATCTTAACCCTGATATAACCTAGGATTGACAGAAGTAAGGATGTCAACATTTTGGAGCGCAGCATGTTTTAAAAACAATACAATCTCTTTATTTTGGGGATTTTGTGCCTTTACTGTAGAGACAGGACAGTGGACAGAGTCGGAAATCAGGGAGGGAGGGAAGTCTCCTAACTTAAGTGTAACATGTTGTTCTGCTTTCTCCTAAAGATGGCAGCAGCAAGCCTAGATTGCAACCCTTTTAAATATTCAGTCACTCTGCAGAGAAACTGCAGAGAGGGTTAGAACTCTTCAAGGGTTCGACTCCCCTTGGCATTTGACTCGAGGCGGCTCCTACATAAGGCTTGAAGCAAAACAGCAAGAAAGCACGTAAACATGAAGTCTGTGTCAAAACTAAGAATCAAAAGTCAAAAGTTCAGGTGGCGAGGGATGATCCCTGGGTAAAACATGGTGAAAAGGAGAGAGTATATATGCTCTGCAGCCTCCTTAAACACAGGGGAGCCAAGTGTGATCCAGTGTGCAGACGACCCTGGCCTTCAGACGGCCAGGGTCAACACAGGATCAGTATTTAAACACAGTCATGAAGAAGGAAAACATCAGGCTGTTGGTGCAGATTTAAGACGGCTGCAGCGATGTGCCCTTATTTTGCGTTTAGGTAATGAAAGTTACGACTAAAAATTCCCACCAACCTGTGTGCATGACCTTCAAAAAGTACATGACGGTTTCACTCAATTCTCCCCTTCTGTGGGGAATAACCACCCACACTTTATAGTTGATGCAGTTACAGTGTGAAAGAAACCTGGTGTGATGAAAAGAGGAAGTGATTTGTGGTGTCAGTGTCTTGCCCTGTCAGCACTTCTGTCTTCTACTTCTGTCACTCCGCTGCTGGACTTTCCCCTGCTCTGCTCGAGTGTTTTGAAAATGAAACAGTTTTTGTATCAGTTAGCTTTGTGCCTTCATGATGTGAAGTTAATCTGGAGATTTAAAATGCAGAGGGTGTCTCTTACTATCTGGGATGTGGTGGATATTTTAGAGTGAGTTTTTAAGGCTTTTGAAGGAGGATTCATTTGAGAGTCACTGATATGCGAGGTAGGTGTGTTTTTATCTCTCTACTGATGAAGGTCGACCGCTGCTCAGTGAAGGCTCCTGATCAGCTACCAGAACTTCTTAAGATGGCTAAATACATTTAAAATGATTCAGGAGAGAACGTTGTTTTTTTGGAGTTAATTGCTGAAAGGCGTTTGAATCTTGTCTTCTGTCCCCCTGCTCCGTCTCTGGTGTTGGACCTTCAGCTGCCTGCAGACGTGTTGAGGCTGAAGGAGCGCTGTGCCGTCACCAAGAAGGAGCTGGCTGTGCGTCTCAGTACTCCTCATGTTGCCAACATCAAACAGAGCTGTGACACTAAGGTTTGTTTTTTTTTTTGTAACTTTTTATGTAATTCAACATTTTTGTCTCCAAGGGAGGAAGTGGGAATTCACGGTGGTGCAGTGGTCAGCGCTGTTGCCTCACAGCGAGCAGGTTCCCTGTCTGACAGGAGCCTCTTGTGTGGAGTTTGAATGTTCTCTCCGTGCATGTGTGTTCTCCGGCTTCCTCCCACAGTCCAAAGACATGCTCGTTGGGTTAACTGGTGACTCTCTGAATGCGAGTGTGGCTGGTTGTCTGTCTCTATATGTCAGCGCTGTGATTGGCTGGCAAACAGTCCAGTTTGTAACCCCGCCTCTCGCTTAATGACAGCTGTGATCCAGCTGCCCCGCGACCCCGATGGACCCTGATCAGTAAAAGCAGCATAGATAACAGAATGATTAAGGAAGGAAGGACGGGTCCCTTTGCAGGCAGATTTTAGTTTTGGTAAAAGTGTAAAAGAATGTTTTTATATTTTTAAATGTTTAATGTTCCAGATGAAAATGTTTTTGTATCGTCCGTGGTTAAACGTCTGCTATGTTTTTGTTTTCCAGGTGCAGCAGTTGATGAAAGCAGCGAGGAATGGTACCAAGGACGGTTTGGAAAAGACAAAGTTAGCCATGATTCGCAAAGTGTCCTTCCTGCAGAGAAAGGACTCCACAGGTTGGAAGACATCATATTCATGTACTTGCTCATATCTCTGTATATAAAGCCTATATAGATATTTATTTATTTCCTGTTTATTGCATATAGTTCTGTTCACATCTGTTAGACGGATCACTGTCCACTTATATCTCTACTCTGTCGATCTATTTTATATTTTAACTTTATATTTTTGGTTTAATGTTTAGTCTACCTGCACTGATGTTCATTTACTGCTCTGTGTCCCCCGGGGTCAAATAAAGTTTTTTTTTTTTTTTTTTTTTTTTTAAGATTTATTTTGGGCTTTTCGTGCCTTTAATGCAGAGAGAGGACAGTGGATAGAGTCAGAAACCAGGGAGAGAGAGCGGGAAATGACATGCGGAAAGGGGCCACGGGTGGAAGCGAACCCGGGCCTACCGCTCGAGACGAGAGTCTCAATACATGGGACACGCGCACTAACCATTGCGCCACTAGCGCGCCCCTCAAATAATGTTTTTTGAATTTGAATTGTGACCTTTAGCCCAGAGGGCGTTTTATTCTCGTGCATACATTGCAGACTTTTATAACCAGTCCTGAAATATGAAATAAACCGACATTTAAACCACCCCAGCCCTGGTATATAAACATTCAAATAATGATTTATAACCTCCAAAAAAAACTTCAAAACATGCCGGCATATTAAGAGACGGATCTGAGAACGAGCAATGAGTTGACAGTTATTGTCTGAATGTAAGAATATGAACAACACCTGGAGTACAAAGCTTGCAATCAAAAAGTTTTTAAGTCTGCGTTTCAGACAGTTTTCAGTCATGGAGCCCGAGCTGCGTTTCAGATCGTTCATAAATATCAGAGACTTTGAAACAAATGAACACATGTTGCGTTTAAAGCTGCAGTTGTCCTTTTAAAGGTCTCAAACAAACTGAACAGATTCTTTTGTATTTCTGTCTTGGTGTTAATAAAGTTTTGTGTGTTTCCAGCCGATGGAAAGGATGATGCAGGTTACATGGACGTGTCTGTGTGTGAATTAAAACATCCTCCACCTCAGCTCAGCCCCATGCCAGAGGGACTCAGCAGTCAGCAGGTGTGTGTGTGTGTGTGTGTGTGTGTGTGTGTGTGTGTGTGTGTGTGTGTGTGTGTGTGTGTGTGTGTGTGTGTGTGTGTGTGTGTGTGTGTGTGTGTCAGTTTACTCTACTGCATTATAGAATGCAGAGTGGTTTCATTGAGTCAGTGTTTGGTTCAAATCTCCAACGTGTGTGTTCAATCCAGTTTGATGTGACTGAGTGGGTCTCCTGCAGGTCGTCAGACGTCTCATCCTCAGCTCCATCGTGCAGAGTGAGAGCAGCTACCTGGACTCCCTGAAGAGAATCCTCCAGGTGAGTCACATCTCTCCTCTCAGCTAACGTCTGCGGCGCCGCAGGTCAGACTGTGGAGAAGCTCTGTTTCTGTGTACGCCGTGTTTCAAGAGAGTTTCAGGTCATTTTAGCACTAGTACAAAAAGTTCTAGAGTCGCTCCAGTAGATGCTTTATCAGTCTGTTGGAGGCAGGAACGTCCACTAATAGTTGTTATTAAGTCGCTGACAGGCTCAGATTGTTATTCTAAGTGTGTGACATCATTACAGTGAGGATCCCTGCAGCGACAGGCATTTATGTAAAGAATAAAATCATTTATCAGGAACAGCTGTTACATCCTTCTCTCGCCATTGGCAAAAACTTAGTTTTATCTTGCATTGAATAAATTGATAAAAAAATATATATATATCTGCTGCAAGTGTTTACTGTAAAGAGAGTTCTCTTTTTATGTGTGACTTTTCACACTAAAATGTAATATAAATCAAGTATATCCTCTGAAAATAACTCTGTGAGTCATGACTGTCTACAATGGGTGTAACACCCGAGTCCCACTGTCTGTGATGCTTTCAGAGTTTTCTGAGTCCTATCTTCAGTTTGTTTACATCGCCCGGACGGCCGGCTGACTCCTCCCCTCGTGTATAAAAGTTGTTTAATTGAGGGACTAGAGAAAAGAAGAATAACATACTGTACTCACTGCTTCTAGATCACGCTCATTTCAGGTAAATTTACATGCAGTGTGAAGATACGAGCATAATAAAGATCGCTAGCATTAGCGTGCTAACACAACAATGCAGCGCAAGTTGTTTTGGTTTCATGCTGGTGCTCAAGGGCGACATCTGCTGGATCAAAAAAATCGCATATAAAGCCTTTAATCTAAAGTTATTCGACTACAGTGTCAAAAAAATATCATATTAAGCCTTTAAAGTAAATACCTATCAGTGAATTTTGACCAAACTAATCTTTGTATCATGAGAGGCTGAGAGCAGAGGTTTGAAACATCTTGACTTTTAATCAGTGACATCCTCGCTGTCCTTTTGATATCCAATCACCTGGCGGCGGCTTTCTTCTGTTTTTACGAGACAGTGTGATTGCATTTGAAGAATTTGCATTCCTGTCGTTGTATTGACTTGTTGTTTGATGTGTTGATACTGTCGGGTGGTGTCTGTATGTAAAAAGGAAGAATGAGCCTGACTGTCCGGAGAGAACTACAGTAATGTCTGCTCTCTGTGCTGCATGTAGTGAAAATGTTTTTTGACTCATAACACCAAGTTTGTACTTCTTCAGAGAACGAGCAATTCTCCTATTTTTGGAAGACATTTCTCACACATATCTCATGAGTCTCCGGGAGAGTGTTTGGTTGTCTGTCTCTATATGTCAGCCCTGTGATTGGCTGGTGAAAAGTCCAGAGTGTAACCCCGCCTCTCGTCCAATCACAGCTGGGTTCGGCTCCAGCCTCCCACAAACCCTGAACGGGTAAAAGCGGTAAAGATAACGGATGAAATCAGGCTCAGGATTTGATTAAACTGTATTAAACATATTTCACTTCTCAACTTAAAAATAACAAACAGGCTTCGTCTGCATGTTACCCTGGTGACAGATTTAAGAAAAGACAAACAGCTGATCCATCTGTGTCCTCCAGGAGTACCAGAAGCCGATGATGGAGCCTCAGAACTGGATCCTGAGCCCCAAGAAGGTCCGTCAGATCTTCTACCGCCTGCAGGAGATCCATCAGTGCCACTCCATGTTCCAGATCGCGCTGGCGTCCCGCGTGGCCGAGTGGGATCACAGCGAGAAGATCGGAGACCTGTTTGTCGCCTCGGTCGGTCTCTCACTCAGACCTCTCCTTTCCTTCTCTACCTTGATTCCTCCTGCACAGTTATTCTAGCTCCTCTTAAAACCTTAGTGTGTGAAAACAACTAACAGAGTCCTGATGTCACTCTGCTTCCTCCACAGTTCTCAAAGTCCATGGTGCTGAACGTGTACAGCGACTACATCAACAACTTCACCAACGCCATGGCTCTGATCAAGAAGGCCTGCATGTCCAAACCTGCTTTCCTCGACTTTCTCAAGGTGCTCGCATTTCGTTTCTTAACCGTTAACATTTTGAAGTCCAGAGTCTGAGATCACCACTGTCGTCCCAGTTCTTACTCTTCTTACTGAGATGTAGAAAGTAGAGACAAGAAAACATATTTATATTTTCATTTCATTGTACAGTGTTCCCCTTTGTTATGTTTTTGTATTATATCTTTGCTTTGATACAGTGTATAACTTCTGTACAGTTTATTTTAATTTACTTAGCTGTTACTACAACTTATTTATTTTTTATTTTATTTGTACTGTTCTACTCTTTTTTTCTTATAATGCTATTCTATTTTATACATAATTTAAACTTTTTTGTAGAAGCTGACTCAGGGAGAAACACACAAAAATTCCAATGTACCTGTGCAAATGGCAATAAACATCTATTCTATTCTATTTTGAATTGTTGCACGCTGTTTGTGCATGCATGTTGTCTCTGACAGAACTACATCTACTTCTTCTGATGCTTTGATTGCACACTAGTTGTACTGAGTAACCCATTGTGAGGCATCGTGATATCAAGTCAAATCATTGACAGGATAATTGAATCCAATCAGGAGACAAGTGAAGATGCACAACGCTTGTTTTAATTCCCCTTACTGGAATCCATTTTTTATAGACTTGCTTTTATGTGATTTTTCCTTTAAAGGTCTATCCCTTCCCTTTATTAATTTTATTGATTTTAACCTTTTTATCTTTCTCTTCTTTAAATGTTTTAGCCTTTAACTGTATCCCTTCCTGTATTCATTTTACTGCTCTTAGTCTTTTTTAAATTCCTCCTCCTTTTATCGTTTAACTCTTCAGCTCTCTGTTGCTTTATTCATTTAACCAATGTCCCGTTTATCCCTTCTTTTTATCTTCATTCTGTGTTTACAGCCTGTGATGTGATGTCGTCCCACTCTCCCTCAATTTTAATTTTGTTCTCTCCTGGTTGATTTTAAACTCATTTTCCTTCAATGTATTGAACTGCCTCTCCATACCTGCCTGTTGACTCTATATCATTCCTGTTATTTGCATTTTTACAATTTTGCCCTCTCTGTTGACCTCTGTTCTGTTGTTGTTTTGCTGTATTTGCTCTGCACAGCACTTTGTAAACATTTGTTTTTAAAGGTGCTATAACCATAAAGATATTATTATTATATATATTTTTTTTTTTGCATTCACATACTAGAGGAAACTGATGAACTTGTACTTTTCATGTGATTTCCAGAAGAAGCAGGCGACCAGTCCAGACAGAATCACTCTGTACGGTCTGATGGTCAAACCCATCCAACGCTTCCCTCAGTTCATCCTGCTGCTGCAGGTGAGTCACACACACACACACACACACACACACACACACACACACACACACACACGTCAGCGCTGCGTGGCTTCATCACAGGAGATCGTGTGATCAGTATTTTAAATCTGCTTCCATCCAGTGGACACGACTTTGATTGGAGGTTTTCAGGCTCTTCAAAATAATCACACCAGCCAGGCTCTCTCTGCCCCTCCTTACCTCCCCCCCTGTCACATCCAGGTGCTTCAACAGTCTTTGTTGTTGTTGTTGTTGATCAGGACATGTTGAAGAACACTCCTAAGTCGCACACCGACCGGCTCCCCCTGCAGCTCGCGCTCACCGAGCTCGAGACGCTCGCAGAGAAGCTGAACGAACAGAAGCGTCTGGCTGACCAGGAGGCGGAGATCCAGCAGTTAGCTCACAGTGTCGGGGACAGAAACCTCAACAAGGTGAAGCACACGTTACTTTATAACACACACACTCATGGTTTGTTACACATCCTGATAAACACGGACGCTGTTTCTGTTTACTTTGGTTTATTCACTCAGGGGTCTGCCTCTGGTGTCCAAGAATATTTTGCTATTTTAAAAACAATTCTTTTGATACCTTGTGGTGGCATAAGAGCATTGGAAAGCCTATCAACGCGTTTAAAATCCAAATTCATTGGCAGTAAGAATGCACCAATTATTGTCACCGATTTTGGAGTAGCAGTGCCTCACATTTTAAAAACAGGCTTTTCAGAGGCTCATAGTTTGGATTCTCATAACGTCACTGAGAGTGCACTAAGCGATCTCCTGTAAACGGGGAACTTCTCTTCTTGTGTTTGCAGCTGCTGAACTCGGAGCAGAGGCAGCTGATCCAGTGCGAGCTGCTGACTGAAATCGTGTACGGGGACAAAGGTCAAGTCATCAAGTCCAAGGAGAGGAAGGTGTTCCTCCTCAACGACACGCTGATCTGTGCCAACGTCAACCTGAAGTAAGAAACCTGCTCGACCCTGAAGCTGGAGTACGGCTCAGATGGATGTTTGTTTTTTTTGGTTCTTCATTGTAAAAGAACTTCAAACCTTTAAATGTGAGCATTGTTAAACATTTACAACATTTCTCATATGATAATTAGCTGCTTCTCAGATCGTCGTATAAAGTTAAAGGTGGAGTCAGCGCATTGTTTGTTGCAGCTTGTAAACACAACATTCAAACTGGGCCCCTCCTCCTGGGCTCATCACTCCCAGAAGCCCCGCCCCCTGCAGGAAGTAGTGTGTACGTTTACTGCTTGTACCTACACTGCAAGCTAACGCACGCTAGCACAAGCTAACCGCCGGTGTTCATCACCTGCCTGTCCAACAGGAAGTAGACCAACTCCACGTCCACGGGTAAAAGACAACACAAGGTTCACCCTCGTTTTAGAACGAGCTTTATCCACTTGGTGTTTCTCCTCACTCTGATTATATTTTCTCTTCTTTGCTGCTACGTCCACGTCCGTCATATTCACCGGTTTGAATCTCGTCCAATCACTGAACTGTCTCCACTCCTAAACTCGCCTGCTGTGCTCTCATTGGCTGGAGGAAACACACCAGCTCCGCCCAGAAACGTCCCGAGTCGACCAGAACAGTAAAATCCAGTCAGAGGACAGAGTCTCTGCAGACACAGTCACAACCACACATGTATGGAGGCCCAGAAGGGACGATGGAGCAGCTTCACTTTAGGAGAAGTCTGTCTTTTATTTTGAAGGAGAAGTCTGTATTTTATTTTTTTCAGAAAAGAGTTGCTGACTCTGCCTTTAAATTTAATGCATGCCCAAGCTAACTCCACACAGAGTCTGGAAGGAGATTATTTCTACACTACCAGGTTTCCCATGTTTATTAAAATCATCAGATATGATTGTGATCTCTGCAGTTCATGTGATATAAAAACTAAAAGAGTTGGAGCAACCAATGCAGCTTAAATGTTAAAACCCCTTCGGCTACTAAAGGGATTGAATTTGCTTGCAAATTTGTGGGCGTAGATTTCAAGGATTATATCATCAGTAAGCTGTCTGTGGTCCGTTTCAACCGGCTGACCCAGACACATACAAACTGCACTTTCAACCTAGGAAGAAAAAAAACTCCTTAGAAAATATAACCATTTGAAAAGTCTGAAACACAGATACATTTCCACTAAGAGAAGCGGGAAGCTGCAAACTTTCATCTTTAAGAAAGTGAAGTGAAGATCCCTGTAAGCTCCCCCCCTTTATCTTCATCATGTTACTGCCTTGTTACTTATCTGTAGAGTATGTTTGTCCACCAGGGGTCCCCCCGACATCAGCAGCCTGGTCCCTGTGGGTCCTAAGTACACGGTGAAGTGGTGCTCCCCCTTGCTGCAGACTCAGGTGGTGGAGGTGGGACAGGACAGTCTGCAGAACAGAGAGGGAGTCGTCACAGTCAGGAGGCACAACTCCACCTCCAGCACCTTGGGTATGTCTCCAAGTCAGCGTCATCGACTCAACACAAAACACCACATGACATTACACTGAGGAGACCGAGCATGTGCAACGTTTATCCAGCAACTTAACCATGAATTTATAAAGTTCTTCTACGGCATCACTCAGATTTCTTAGTGTGCCTTATTTGAATTCTTTTATTAAACATTATCTCACAGTTTTTCTCTGAAAGCATCTCTGAAAATCATGCTGCTTGATGATGTCATCATCCCTGCTGAAAGTCCTCTTTTTGAAATTTTTTTTTTTTTTTCCTCTAACCTTTATTCAACCTTGAAACTCCCGATTCAAATTTCCTTTCAGGGACACTTGACCAGAACACACCATTAAAGTTGAAGTTTAAAAACAAAACAAAACATAAACTTAAAGCAAACAAGCAGAAGTGTAAAACCACTTCCCTCTGATTACATGGTTATGATGTACAGGATCAAATAAACAAATATGTTTATTCTCTGTAGCTCAGTGGGTGAAACCACTGCTAGAGTGATCTGAGGGTACAGGGTTTGATTCCCGAGACTAATGAGGCGCCTCACTTACAACGGAAAAGAGTGCCTGAGTGTGTAGTAAGTTGTTTAAAAGTAAAATCCGATGTGTCCTTGTGAAAGACACTTAACCCCAAGTTGCTCCTGCTGCTTCGTTGGCAGTGTGTGAATGTGTATGAATGGATGAGTTAATACTGATGGACTCTTTACACAGCAGCCTCTACCATCAGTGTGTGAATGTGTAGGTGTGACCTGCAGCGTAAAAGAGCTTTGAGTAGTCAGAAAACTAGAAAATAAATATACCAGCTCAAGTCCATTTTACATCATGCCTTGTCCAGGTCACCGCTCCAATGAAGAGATTCAAATCTCAAGATCTCAAATGTAAAATAAAAGTTATAAAACAAATCTTAACTTGGCGCTCCAATCGGATTAATAACTAGATAAAAGACGATGACTTTTGTGCCACTTTGATGCTAATTTGGTGGTAAATGAAGCGTCATTGCAGCGCCCTTTGTGTTTCAGGTAAAGTGTTCCTGGGTCCTCCTCGGCTGTACCAGGACCTGGAGGAGCTGCAGCACGACCTGGGCGTGGTGGAGGAGGTGTCGGTGCTGGTCAGCACGCTGCATGGAACCTACCAGGTGACAGACTGTTTCCTGTTTGAATCAGTCATGTGTTAAATGAACTGATAGTCATTTTTACACCTAAAATGTTTAACAAAGGATCAAAGAAACGGAGCTAAGACAGTCTAACTCGTTGATCCTTTCCGTCTCCTGTGTCAGAATCTGAACACCACCGTGTCTCAGGACTGGTGTCTGGCTCTGCAGAGACTCATCCGCCTCAAGGAGGAGGAGATCCAGAACGCCAACAGGTGTCGCCTACGTCTGTCCGTGCCGGGGAAACCCGACAAGTGAGTGTCAGGAGGTTCACTGAGGCTCGGACTCAGAGTGGATGTAGCTTCAAATGTCTTATCTCATGAACTCTCTCTCTCTCTCTCAGATCCGGTCGTCCTGTGAGCATCATGGTGGTCTTCAACACGCCCAGCCCGCTCACTAAGATCTCCTGGGTGAACCGGCTCCACCTCGCCAAGATAGCCCAGAGTGAGTACAGAGAGGGAGAGAGAGAGAGGGAGAGGGAGAGGGAGAGGGAGAGAGAGAGAGAGAGAGAGAGAAGAGAGAGACAGACACGAGAGAGAGAGAGAGAAAGAGTGAGAGGGGAACCACATGCAGGAAAGGAGCCACAGGTCAGACTTGAACCTCTGTGTCTAAAATATAGTAAATATAGTGTGCGTGTGTGTGTGTGTGTGTGTGTGTGTGTGTGTGTGTGTGTGTGTGTGTGTGTGTGTGTGTGTGTGTGTGTGTGTGTGTGTGTGTGTGTGTGTGTGTGTGTGTGTGTGTGTGTGTGTGTTCAGGACAGGAAAACACTCCGGGCTGGGAATGTGCAGAAGAAGAAACCAAGACAAAAGCTCCGTTCACTTTACCTCTGTTGACCTGCACACTTCCTGTTTTCTCCCCCAGAACGCACACGCTCAAGGTGAGCTCGTTACTGACACACAAAACAACACAGATACACACAGATAAACACAATTCACCAGGAGAAGAAGAATCTCTGCTTTCATGTTGTGTTTCCTTTGAGCTTTGAGCTGTGACACAGATCAGCTGTTTCTTCAGAGCTGATAATTACATCAGAGTGATGCTGAAGGAGGAGGAAGGAAGGAAGGAAGGAAGGAAGGAAGGAGGAATTCAATGTGAAAATAACAAAGCGTGAAAGAGCATTAGAGGATGATGAAATCTAGAGCATCTCACATTTAATATGACTCTTCAGGACCAGATCGTCATCTTCTGTTTCTATTCATTGGAACAGAACTGAGGGGTGATGTGGCTGCGACAGAGTTGAATAAATGCTCTCACAGATAGATAGATACTTTATTGATCCCGAGGGGAAATTAAAAATGACTGACTGAATGAATCATATAAACACATTTTCTGCTTTACAAATGACTCCATGAATGTTTTTAAAAATATGGACATAACAAATGACCATCGTATCATTTTATTTCCCATCCTCTTCTCTCTTCTTCTCCTCTTTTCGATCAGTGGTGTTTATTTGTCGTTGAGTTATCTCTGAAGATGTGATGAGATCTGCATCTGTTCACAGAGAATGTTTTATCCCCTCTGCGATGTTTGAGTCAAAGTTAACTGTGTGGGTGTCCTGTAGTAAATCCTATCCTCTCTCTCTCTCTCTGTCTCTCTTTCTCTCTCGTGTCTGTCTTTCTCTCTCTCTCTCTCTCTCGTGTCTGTCTCCCTCTCTCTCCCTCACTCTCTCTCTCTCTCTCTCTCTCTCTCTCTCTCTCTCTCTCTCTCTCTGTGTTTGTAGCTGGAGGCGGCTCTCCACAGTCCGTCTCAGTCCAGTCTGCTGGGTTTCTGCACGGCCAGCACGTCTCTACCTCAGGGTTACCTCTGGGTGAGTTCAGCTAACGGCGGTCTACCTCCCTCTGAGATTCACATGAACCAGAGCTGATTAAAAACTTTAACATTGTGTGTCTGTAATGTGTGCTTTCTTACCTTTAAATAAACCGAAAATCTCCGCTATGAGTTCAATAATCAGCCAAATGAGGCGTCGGTCCTCCAGCTCGTTGATGGTAAAAGTCTTCATCACATATGTAGGTCAATATATAAATATCTGTCTCCCCCATTATGTCGAAACTTTAATCTAATAATCCAATATTTGCTCGTACAACTTGGAAATGTCCCATTTTATTCTAAATCCTCATCCCCATGTTTTTCTAAAACTAATATGTGTCTCTAGTCTGTCTACAAACCCCCCAATGATGAGAAAAGTCCATCCTCTCAGTCTTTTACCTGCTCTACTTTTCAGAAAATATGTGCTCAAACAGGCCGTTTGGAGATTTTCCCTTCATGACATCACAAAGGGCAGTAGCCCCTCCCCTAGGTGGGTGACACTCCCACAGCTGGGTGTTTGTTCTGCCCTCTGAGTCTGCCTTCTCACCGTAAACAATAGGGCATGGAGCGAGAAAGCCTGAGACCACCCAAGCCCTTCCAGAGAGGGGGCATGGTCAGGCACAGCTCATTTACATATTTAAAGATACAGACACAGAAACAGCCTGTTCTGAGCAGGGCTGAAATAGAGGGGTTTATAGACATGATCAAGTACAGGATCAGAGTTGATTTAGAACAAGAAACTTCACACACATGTTTTGAGGAGCTCTCAGACTTATTTACACTGGTTGAAGAGGAGGAGGATATGTGACCTTTAAATTTGAAACAACCAATTAATTCATTTTCTTTGTACATGTATTGCTGTATTTCATCACATTTGTTTCATTCTGCATGTTTCTTTTGATATTTTTAAATAGCTAGGTCTCTTTTGTTTATATTTCCAGGTTGCTGGTGGAGGAAGCAGCTCAAACCACAGCGGTGAGGTGGAGATCTTCTCCCTGAACCGATCGGCTCCTCGTCTGGTGAAGACCGTCCCTCTGAGGGCCCCCGTCCTCTGTTTGGAGTACGTGAAGGAGCCCAGCGCCTTCATGGAGGAGAGGGAGGCAGAGAAAACACAAAGTGCGGCTAAGATCGGGAACATCATCTGTGTGGGTCTGCAGGATGGCAGGTCAGTGGTTTCTATCAGTCTGCAGAGACAAAGGGACTGAGGGTCTTTTACTGAGACGTTTTATGGTACTGTGTCTGTCAGTTATATGTTGATCTTAAAAACACAGTCTCTGAACACCTCATGTGTTGACCTCTCTCTTGTATCATAGAATGTGTAGTATTTGACTTTTGGCTGTCTCCTTGTCTCCGCAGCATCCATGTTTACAGCAGCGTGGACACAGCCGTGCAGTGTCTGCTGACCTTGGTGAACCCCGACAGCTGTCCCGTCCTCTGCCTCAAACACTCGCTGTCGTTCCTCTTTGCCGGCCTGGCCAACGGCAAAGTAGCCGTGTACCACAGGAAGGCTGGAGGTGAGCGAGCGCTGCAGCCGGAGGAGAGTGAGGAGGCTGGGCTCCACATTCACAATATTACACTGCAGTAATAGTGAGTGAGCAGAGAGTGATGAGTAGGTGTTAACTTGTGCTTTCCCCCTCCCGTCAGAGAGACTGTGGGACGTGGACTCCTGCAGGCTGGTCTCTCTGGGCTCTGAGCCAGTCAGCTGTCTGCTCACGCTTGAAGACTCTGTGTGGGCCAGCTGTGCAAACCACGTGACAGTCATACAAGGATCCAGCCTGCACATACAGGTATGCACACTCATGATCATCAGGTGGGCAGCATCAGATCTGGATTTTTATCTGGGCTTTTCAGGTAAATGCAGCTTAAAGGATTGATGTGTAACTCTGATCCCTAGTGTTTAAAATGGGTACTGCAGTCTAAATTCTAAACATTGTAGAGAGCTGTCTCCCCCCCTCCTCTCTAGAGTCTATGCTCACACAGGTTGCCATGTAGAAACATGCAGAGGCTTTTTAGGTCGGGTACAATCACTTCTATCTGAACCACTTCTCTTGCCCGCTTCCATCGCTGCAACACCTGTTGGTTTGACCTGATAACTGCTCTCATATCTGGCAAACTGAGGGGTGTCCAAAACGCCTTAAAACCGCCTACCTTCTCTGATCCAAACAAATCCAGAGCATTCAGCACCAGAATCTAAAGTTAGAAGGAGGACATACTGGCTGCTGCATTGTTGTCAGAGAAGCCAGCACTTCAACATAGCATGTTTCCTTAATGTCTGATCATATAAGCTCACTATATCATTTCACTCACTACAAATCTTACTGGTTGCTCCTTTAAAATAAGTGTAATTTGACATTTTTTACAAAATACAGACATATGCACCTGCTTGGATTTGAGTTTTTGCGGAGTTGGCTGCTCTCAGGAGGAGAACTATAAAAAATTCACCCAAAAACTTGTGACTCTGAAGCGTGGGAGTGTTTTCAGCAGAGACGGTAATGCGGTGCTCCATAAGCTCTGCAAACTGAAGATGACGATTCAAAGGAGTAAAGCTGCAGGAATGCACCTTTTGAAGAGGGCATCGTCCTCCTCACATTTTGTCCTCACTAAAGCATGATAATTCATTGGGATTATAAACCTGCAGAACTTGTTTTTAATTCTCTAAATGTTTCTTTGTTAACCCCCCCTGATGAGAGTTGTTTCTGGTGCATTATGAGATAAATATAAAAAATAAAAAAGAATCAATTTTAGAAACAAATGTCCACAGCAGTACTCCCAACTATCAAGAAAATTAAAAACATAAAATAATATCATATAACAATGTACAAAGTATGGAAAGAGTTTGTGCAGCATGCAGTGTGCTGAGATTAAAATCCAATGAGGTGAATGTATGTCAGATATTTTACAAAGCTGGGACAGAGTCTGTGTGTGGGGGGGGGTATTATTAATGAGAGGAGCATAGGGGAAGAGACTCTCTTGTGGTGTGAGTTTTTTATCCTGATGGATCTGTGCACGGGGTGAGAGGGGTCGACCACAATTTCAACCTGCACGCCTCAGGGTGGTGTTCGGGTCGTGCAGAGATGGCAGATTGCAGCCAATCACTCCCTGCAGAACATGATTTTCTGCAGCCTGCTCTTGTCCTTGGCAGTGAAGCAGAGGGGGGAGGGGGGGGGGTTGGTCCCGGGGAGCTCATTTCTGAAATAAAAACTGTAAAGAGAGCATTTGAAGGCCAGTCCTCAAGAGCAAAAACATAAAACAACAGTCCTGCATTCTTCTTATCCTGCAGTATTTCTGAGGTTTGAACATGAAGGGAGGACTTTTTGTGAATTTCTCAAATGTGAGGTTGCTCTCGAAAGGTGACTCACAGGTTTCTAACATTTAGTTTTTGCTGCTGTAACTCTGATTAGCCCAAGCTGGTATTCATGAGGAGTGATTCTGTAAAGGCAATTTTCTTGAAAAGGTCTATAAAAATGTTGCCGAATTCTGAAGTTGGTCCACAAATAAATCATCACTCACGTCATTTATTTCACTCGAGAGTTTTTTCATTATTTCTGTGACAACATCCAAACCATAGCCTCACTAGCCGTTATGTCGCGCGCCCCATGTGCAGAGGCCGTAGTCCTCATTGTAGCGGCCGTGGGTTTGAATTCAACCTCGGCCCTTTGTTGCATGTCATCCCCCTCGCTCTCTCCTCCAAACACTTCCTGTCTCTCTTCAGCTGCCCTCTCCAATAAAGGCAAAAATTATCACGATCAAAAAGTAATTCAGAACCCAGAACCAAAACATGTCCAGATAAATCCATTAACTCACATAATAGGTCATACAAGATTCTTATATTAAATTAAACATTCCCCATAAATTATATTCTTATCTCTAATGATCTAAGTTAAAAGTTTTATTAGCATGAACTGAAATCAGAATTGTTAAATTAAATGCACTGTGATTTAAAATGGCTTTGACAGTACAGCTACCTTTGCAGAATATTTGAATGTTCAACATTTTTAAGAAGCTGCAGCGAGGACATCCCGTGTTTTTGTTCTTTTCTCGGTGTGAAGTCAAATTAACATTCAGCTCCACGAGCCTGAAACTGCTGGCTTTCAGCGCCGTGCTGCTGCCCTAGTTTCACTCAACAGCTGAACAATAATTCCACATATTTAAATGATTTTAGGTTTAATATTTGACGTCTTTCAGCTCCTGTTTCCATGTCCTTGTGTGTTCAAGTGTCTCGTCCTGCAGTCCCAGGCTGTCAGCTGTGATTCCCTCACAGCGCTCTGACTCTGATGGACTGTGTGAGGCATCAGGTGTGCGCTCTGTGTGTGTAGAAAGTCAGTCCTCTGGGGGCTCTCTGACACTTGTTGAGTGTGTTGAGAGCTTGACTGACAGATGAGTGTGTCTGGAGCTAACGGGCTGCCAGAGGCACTGTGACTCCTCTTCCTCTACTCCTCCGCGCTGAAGCTTGCCGCGCCGTCTCCGTGTGGACGGATGGAAAGTTTAATTGAGGAATGTGTTACTGTGTTCTGTACGTGTGCGAGCCGGCGACCTTTCTGCTACAATCAGGCTTTGTGAGGCTGTTGAAATATGAATTTCTTTATGTCCACGCTTTGAGGACAGATTTCCTTTATCGTCTTTGCAAACCGTGTGTCTCTTAAAACGAGAAGAGACATACACAAAGTTTGAAGGACGTGCTTTAAAGTGGATTCTGTGCACATCATGACTAAACCATGTTCTTAAAACGAGGCTGATATCTGATGACCTTCAGTCTCCTACAGGAGCATTCATGGTCAGTCCTCCGGTGATGGTTATGACATCATGGTTGATAATCAAATCCACTGTGGAGAAAATGTAAGTGGATTTATACTTCCAGAACAACACATTATTTACAAAAGCTTGAGGCGCTTTGCTGTGAAATTAAGATTTGATGCAACCAGCTGCCTTCAGGTTGATGATCATGCATCCAGCAGATGTTTGTTTTTCTGGACTGAGTTGGTTTATTCATCAAATAGCAACAAAAAATAGCTAGTTTATTTGAATTCCAGGTAGTAAAGCAGGGGACCAGCTTACCAATGTTCGGTAGGGAAGTGGTCTCTGCAGTGGTTAGCCTGAACGCCCTGATGAATGCCTTTAGGCTGAAATACGTCCTCTTCAGAGAGCACTCCAAACAGTCGAATGTGGACTGTGGTTAGAGCGGGGTGAACACAGCACAATCAGTTTGGAAATAATCACACAAGAACACAGCTGTGCCCATTTTGTAAGTCTGCATGTTTCCTTCCTGGCTGGTAACACGCAGTGTTCACCTCTCCCACTCAGTTTGGCTCATTAGTTTCCTCTTACTCACCCACTCACAGAGTCTCTCAACGTCTCTGCTCTGTGTGCTCTCAGGTCTGCTCTCACACTCCTCGACACTGCAGAGAGCCACGGTGTCGGATAATCGAGTGTGTGTTTAGTCTTCTTCTTAATGAACGAGCTGTGTAACACTGACAGGAGAGAGTCCTTCTAACTTTACGTTCTGGTCCTGAATGCTCTGGATTTGTTTGGACCAGAGAAGGTAGGCGCTTTTAAGGCGACCTCCCCCACACGGTCGTTTTGGACGCCCCTCTGTTTGCCAGATATGAGAGCAGTTATCAGGTCAAACCAACAGCGATGGAAGCGGGCAAGAGAAGTGGTTCAGATAGAAGTGATTGTACCCGACGTAAAAAGCCTCTGCATGTTTCTAATAAGCTCCACGAGCAGAAACGTGCTCAAACTAGGATCAATGTTGGAGATGATTTTAAAAAATGGAGAGAGGTTAGAACGCAGAAAGGTTTACAGACCCATGCAGAGCTGGATAAACACTGAAGCTTCAGTGTCCACCACATGGTGACCTGTGTGAGCATCCACTCTAGAGAGGGGGGGGGGGGAGACAGCTCTCTACAATGTTTAGAATTTAGACTGCAGTACCCATTTTAAACACTAGGGGTCATAGTTACATATTGTTCCTTTAAGAGGATGGAACCAAATGTTTGATTTGTCTTGAGTTAAGAGATTTTTATTTAACACAGCCACTTACAAACGTATCCATGTGCCTTTAAAATATACATGTTGGTGCAGATGATGACCTCTCTCTCTCTCTCTCTCTCTCTCTCTCTCTCCCTCTCTCTCTCTCTCTGTCTCTGCAGAGTTTTGAAGCCCGCCCTGACCCCGGCTGCAGTGTCAGCCACATGGTGCGTTCAGGAGGAGGGGTGTGGATGGCCTTCTGCAGTGGCTCCTCCATCCACCTGTTTCACACAGAGACCCTGGAGCCTCTGCAGGAAGTCAACATCTCCACCCGCACCGCCCTTCTGACCCCAGGTAAGGACCACCAGAATATTAATTAACAACAGAACAAGATGATTTAGCAGAGTGCTGCTTTCTGTCCTTCACTGTCACCGACTGTGGAGAGATTGATCGCTGTGCTCTCTCAGACTGAACTGATTTCTTTTTCTGTACAAAGCTACATTAGGCTTCAACTAAAAATCTGCATTTTATCGTTGCTAGGTAAAGCCTAGATTTTTCATTTCTCTAAATAATTTCAATGCCGCCATTTTGCCTTTTATGGATTGCTGGAGAGAAACCTAAGAGGTGAATGTAGAGAAAGGATGACGTGCAGCAAACTGAAGCTGTGTTGTTGGTGGAAGAACGCAGCCTTAGAAATCTGCCAGATACAGAAGACGCCTCCTTACCGTAATCAGCCATGAAGTCAAACAAACAGAACCTTTTCACCAGGAGTGATTCCAGAGTCTTTAAGGGCTGTGGGCAAAAATTCACCTGGGGTCCCAACAACCAGCGATGATCACCGTTCTGTTGTAATCTGTAAACATTTAGTTTGTTATTTCCAATGTTTACAGCTTGTTCACATTCTTTCAGCTGTCCAGCTGAGCTAACAAGTTGACTGCCGCTCTCCCTCCTCCGACCCCCAGCAGTGCTCGACTCGGTCAGCGGCTCCGCCCGCTAAGTTAACTAATGTTCAATGTCAAAGAGCAAAACTTAAAAGCTAGCAGAAGTGATGTCATTCAAGTGTCTCTCCCTCACAGATAAGGCTAGACAACCAACAGCCGGTCATTTATTTCATATTTTATCGTCATTATCTGCTCTATTTAAACCTCATGTACTTCTGCTTATTCATACTGATTTTCAGTGAGTGCCTCTTTAGGGAGGCTTCCTACTGTCATTGCAAACTTTGCACATTTTGAGCCCCTGCTTTGGTTTGAGGTATGTCAGCCCTCAGGAGCCCCTAACTGGCCTGGGGCCCCTTAGGGTTGCCTCCCTTGCCTATTGACAAGCTGTGTCTCTGCATGTCACACTATTGGTGCTGCTGGTGAATGATGAAATGAAAACGCTGGAAAACAAAAAATAAAAAAGATTTCTCTCACTGCCAAAAAAAAAAACATGCAGGTTTAATCTCTTCTCATGTTTCAGGTCAGGTTTGTGTCTCCAGCTTGTTGATCTGTCAGGGTCTGCTGTGGGTGGGGACGAGTCAGGGAGTCATCCTCACCTTCCCTGTGCCCACCCTGGAGGGGATCCCAAAGATCACAGGTCAGTGCTGTGAGCAGAAGCTGCTGAATGCAACTGAAGCTTTGATGTTTGTTCATTAATAATGTTGATATAAAATCCCCTTGTAAAATAATCATCACATCATCAGACACTTCATACGGACCCTCTCACCCCTCAGGTAAAGGGATGACGTCTCTGAACGCTCACTGCGGTCCGGTCGACTTCCTGGTGTCGACGACCAGCACTCTGGCCTCTGACCTCCTCAGACGGGACTCCATGCTGAGCAGCAGCGAGGAGTCGGCTCCAGGAGACGGACGGGGAGGAGGAGGAGACGAAGCAAGGCAGAGGATGGAGCACAGCAGCTCCCCTCAGGACCCTGAATCCCCTCCACCGGGGGAGGAGAAGCCAAAGCGTCTCCTGCTGCAGTACCGCCTCTACTCCACCTGCCAGCTGCCCGGGAAGCTGCTGACAGCGCTGCCCGAGCAGGGGAGCTCCAGGTCCTCGCAGGACGCCCTGGAGCACAGCCCGGAGGACGGCTCCATCTACGAGGTGAGCGAGGACCCCGACGTGTGGGTGAGGGGGAGGCCGGTGGAGTGGGGGAAGGAGGCGGAGACCAAGAGGAGTAAGGTCACGTCGACAGCCATCTTCTCTGGTGGCAGAGGTCACAGACGGATCGGACAAAAGGCCTCGCCTGAAGCATGCTCGAATGCTGCTGAGAACACTCTGCTGGTGTGGCAGCTCCCTCTGACGCTCAGCCAATGACGCACGAGCACGTTGGAACAGTAAGTCACTGTGGTTAAAGACTCAGCTGTTGTTCTTCTGCGGCCATTGTTTCAGCTACATTCAACATGTGAGCCAAAGCCGAAGGAGCTACAGACACCTCGACTTTCATATTGAGTTAAACACCAGAAAAAAAACCTGGACCTGTTCGAGGTTTGTGACGGTTTAACAAAGTGACCTCAGCAAGGTGACATAAAAGCTGAATGTAATTTGTGAATTCAGAAGCTACCTCCAGTTTATTTGGGAAAACTTGGAAGACTGAAAAATCTTCAATGTTTAGTCCAGATCGGATCCAACGCAACTGTATCGACATCACGCATGTAGCAGGTGGAAGATGTAGTTTATATGTGAGCCTCTTCTTTTTGTGCATGTCAATAATAATATTAAACATTTAATCTGCGAGAAAGAGAGAAGTCAAACTCCCTCTGGGTTTGTTGTTTTAAGCTCTGTGTTAACAGCTCCCAGACCGAGGGATAAGCTGCTTCTTTGTGCGGCTTTAAGAAGCTCAAACATTTCTTTTTTTCTTCCTGTTAACCCCTCCCCCTCCACCCGTTATCCCTGTCACCACATTGGAGAAGAGAGATGGCCCCGCCCACTCAGGGATGCCGTGTTTAGGAGCATTATGAGGGAGTGGGTCATTAGAGTACAACTAAAGGAAAACCAAGCTGAAGAAAAGATTGTGTCTGCCCAAAAGGACAAACAGATAAGGCGCAGGTAGCCTAGTGTTTAGTGCACGTGCATTATGTACGGAGGCTGTAGTCCTCTAGGCAGGCGGCCCAGGTTTGAATCCGGCCCGTGGCTCCTTTCCTGCATGTCATTCCTCACACTTCCTCCCTGATGTCCGACTCTGTCTGCTGTCCTGCCTCACTAATGGAGGCATAAAAAGCCCAAAAATAAACCTTAAAAAAAAAACAGATATCGACCACATCAACTTGAAATTGAGGCAGAATCTTGAGGCAGCGGTTTGTCTGCCGCTCACTTGCTGGTGAAACAGGTGAGGCGCGGGGGTAGCGTGTAGACAGGAGGAGCTGAGGGACAAAGGAGGCGTGTCCAAAGAGAGCGAAAAATCTGCTCTAAAAGTCGCATAGTAAGCCTTGAAGGTCACTCTCATGTACTTCCACCCTGCACAGTATTTACTCTCACCACTTACACTGGTACTACTTCTTTCAGTTCTTCACTTTTCATGCAGATGGTACCTGCTATATGGAGGCAGGGGGTCTTAGCGGCACTGATTGAAACCGCCCTGTGAAGCCTGTGTTTGTGTCTTTGACATCTTCAGACACATGCAGGGATTTGATTTAATATGAGATTCTTTAGTAACATAAAAGTATCGTTTGTGTGCAAATAAGAATCTCTCAGTCCTTGCAAAGTGGTACTGCAGACTGCTGAAGGTTGGCTTCAGCAGAGCGTCCCAGTGGGACGGTTGTCTGGGTGATATCAGTGTTTTGAACCTCGTCGTTGAATATCGGCTCGGATCAACATGAATCTTTGCTGAATGATCCCAGAAAGTGTCAGGTGCTACCCGTTTAGCTGAGTGGAGTCGAGAACTATACTCTGCAGAGGCATTAGTACATTAAAGGGGTCATATTATGCTTTTTCTGGTTTTATATGCTCTTTAGTGTGTTTTCCAAGTGTCCTGTGCATGTTTAGGCACATCTATGTGCAAAACTTCAAAGTCTGCGGAAACGCGGCTTCTCCTATGTCCTCCTGTTAGCTGTAGCATTAGCTGCATGTCACGCTCGGTTCTAGCCCCCCTTGATAAAAATTTGTCAGTGTGACGTCTTGTCAGTGTGATATCACTGATCTAAGTCCATTGGCTCGTTGTGGCAAGCCCAGCAGCTCATGTTGCACGCACATTAACTTCTGTAGCACGCCCACGATATGCCGTAACCTGCGGTAGCACAGTAGTGCTAAGGTGCTGATTTTTTTGCTCTCCTCGGAGCCAAAGTGGCTGCATTCCCAATATGCTAAAAGGGGCGTGACATTTCCGAGAACCGTGCTGAGCGACTGACCAATTACGGCAGAGCCGACAGGCCGACCAATCAAATCAGACTTGGCACACTTGGGGACTCTGATCATAGAGAGAGAGTCAGAAGCGAGCCGGTACATGGAGCGGCAGTACATGAAAACAGACACTTTTTTCTAACTTTAGCTATTGTGAACATTCTTTAGTAGGTACAGAGATTAAATATATGAACCCAAAAAAATATTACCTCTTTAAGTACCAGAGTGAGGTACAAATAACTGTGTGCAACTGCCTGAAGACGACTTGTTTGGGCCAAAAGTCTCTGAGACCTCCCCTGTGACCAAAGAGTGTTGGTGAAAGAATAATTCTAGCAGCAAACTCTCCCTAACACCACTTAGTTTACATTTCAGTTTGTGTTCGGCATTTACATGGACTTTAGTATCCTTTTTTAAAATGTATCCCAGTTTGTGCATGTGAACATAACACGATTCTAGAAGCTGGGATAAGCTCTTATCCTGGTTCTGAGAAACCTGATTACCTGGAGAGCTCTGAAATAAATCTGAATACTGTGGTATGTACTGTATATGCATTACCTCGCCTGCATCAATAAGAAGCAATCATCAGAAACCAGGATACTAATATTGATCATGTTTGCAGCGAGATGAAGAACCAGGTTTCTCTGTCTATGTAAACACCAGATCCTGAATCTGATAAGACCAAGATAAAGCGAGGAGCAGGAGCAGAAACGTGCTCAAACTAGGATCAATGTTGGAGATGCTTCTGAAAAATGGAGAGAGGTTAGAACACAGAAAGGTTTATAGACCCATGCAGAGCTGGATAAACACTGAAGCTTCAGTGTTCACCACATGGTGACCTGCGTGAGCATGGCCCCTGAGAGGAGGGGGCGGGGGAGATCGGTCTCTTCAATGTTTTGATTTTATACTGCAGTACCCATTTTAAATACTAGGGGTCAGAGTTACATACTGCTCCTTTAAGGTTTACTACAAGACATAAAAATAAAGGTGACTGTAACTCATTTAATCCTCATTGCTCATACAGCTCTCCGGACAGTTTGTCCACACCCTGCATCACTTATATTGAGTTTTTTTGTTTAAATCTAAGGTAGTGAACGCTCATTACATTATTTTAATGTGTGTAAATGAATAAAATTGCGATAACACAGCACCTTAACATGATTTTTTTTATAATCTGTACTTGCCGTGACCTCTGCTCGGCGCTCAGAGCGTAACTGTAGTGAAACAACATTTCAGGACTTTTGTGATAAAAAAAAATACAATCAAGTCAATCACAAATATGTAACTTTTTTTAAAACTAATATAGATCATAAAAGTCATCACCTTAATATTATGGGCTGGCTTCATAGGTAAGAAGGTCAAAGAAACATCAACATATAATGTATGTACACGAATATGTTTGTACTATAAAATTTATTTATTTATATAAAATGATGAAATATTTGGATTTCAGATAAACCCATTACCATGTTTAAAATGAATGTTCATGATTTTGTCCGCATGTAAGTGACAGACTTTTACATTTGTGTACTCTGACTGCAGTTTGTGTCATCATTCTGTGAAATATCCTGAAAGAAAAAAAAAAAACATGTTCTCCCAGAAACACGATTCTTATTGTTGATGCGTCTACTAAGATAGAATCGGGTTAATTCTTCATTTTTTACGGGTTTATTTTTTTTCACCTTCTGGACAGAAATGTTGCAGCCTGGCTGGTACGAAGCCTCTGAAGGTCAACGGCAAAAAAAAAGGGTGAAACACAAAAACATTTCAAGTAACAGGAAATTATGTATGTCTGTTGTTAAAGATTTGGGTTTCGTCCAATCACAAACAAGTAGTGAAGTTGTAAACTTAACTTTTTTTAAATGTTTATGTGTCATGAAATATTTTTGCATTTAGTGAAATGTATTTGCTGTTGACCTTCAGGGCCACCATAGGTTTAAGCGGGTCTCTGTAATTAGTGGTACATTATACACTGGCACTTTGAAAAACAATGAAATAAAATGTGTTGAAAGTTTTACATTTACTGGCAGTGTTTGTGTTTCTGGGACTGTATCACTTGTTCTGTTTCATATTCTGTAAAATCCACTTCATCATGTTTCTCTAACTCTAATATGTGCCTCTAGTGTGTCTACAAACCCCCCAATGATAATTAATTATTAAACAATGTTTTGGTATGAACTTATGGGAATCATAGGAAGGCAGATAAAGCAGTAACCTGCTTTGTTGACTGTTTAAAGGTCACATATTATAGAAACATATAGAAAATCCTCTTCACCATGTTCCTCTAACACTAATATGTGTCCCTAATCTAAAAACCCCCCAATCATGAGAAAAGTCCATCCTCTCTGTCTTTTTCCTGCTCCACTTTTCAGAAGATGTGTGTTCAAACAGGCTGTTTGGAGATTTTCCCTTCATGACATCACAAAGGGCAGTAGCCCCTCCCCCAGGTGGGTGACACTCCCACAGCTAGGTGTTTGTTCTGCCCTCTGAGTCTGCCTTCTCTCTGTTAACAATAGGACATGGAGTGAGAACGACCGAGACACCCAAGCCCTTCCAGATAGGGGGCGTGGTCAGATACAGCTTATTTACATATTTAAAGGTACAGACACAGAAACAGCCTGTTCTGAGCAGGGCTGAAATAGAGGGGTTTATAGACATGATCAAATACAGGATCAGAGTGGATTTAGAACAAGAAACTTCACACACATGTTTTGAGGAGCTCTGAGACTTATTTACACTGAAGACGAGAATATGTGACCTTTAAATTATCAGTTGAAATAGTGTTAGCGTTTTAAAAAACAGGCAGTTACCTTTCCCTCACCTTAACAATACTGTCTCTGCCGTGCACAGAAACGACTGGAAAATCTGAACAAGAGAGATTACAGTGCAGTAGATTTATTCTGTATGAGTCTGTTTAACATATCAGAGTCATCATGGCAGCACTGTCAGTAATTTATTCAGGGCAAAGCCAAGCGAGAATCAACCTGTTGATACATTAATCATATGAACTCTCTGCAACCTCCGTCTGCACTAACGGAAAATAAATGTAACTGTTTGACTGATTCTGATGAACCAGGGACTCCCGTCTTCAAAATCTGTTCACTCACCATTATAAAAGTTATCTTACTGTATGTTTTATTTTACTTAACTTTCACCAAAATGTAGCCACGACCGGAGACAATGCTTCAAATCAAGATGTTGCAGAAAAGTGACGAGCCCTGAAACTTTGATACTCTACAGAAAATCTGCAGCATCAAAAATGAATGTTTTTGATCCAAAAATCCAAACACTGCCCGTCTGTAACTCAGAGTTTCTTTTGGATATTTTGATGTCTTGATAAAATTTCCCTTTGAGCTTTTGTAGACGATATAAAGAAACTGTAAAAAGTTCATCTTGAGTTCTTGTGTTGGCAAGAACCGACATAACCAAAATCAATAAACTATTACTCAAAACAAGATTTGAAGTGGAACCCCCTCCCCAAAGTAATCCGAGGATAATCAATAAGCCAAAGAAAACAAAAAAGACAGGAGAGCCCGACCACAATGAACCAAAAATGGTAAGGTGCTGAGCCAACACCTCCCCCTAAAACGGCTCAAGAAATAAACTGGAGATGGAAAATAGGACCAGTGGGGATTCCCAGCCCAAACTAAAATAACAAAACAAGCAATCTTAAAAGGCCTCCATGTCTCTCCGACCTGCTCCTCTGAATCCCCCTCCTCCTCGTGTACAGCAGGAGGAGCGAGAACCAGGTAGACAGAGACCAGGACTGGAGCTGAACGTTTGCAAAATATAGAATCCATAGAGTGTGAAGAAAAGATGTCATCATTCATTTATGTCATTTAAAAAAAGCTAAATGTTGTTGATTGTTAGATTTGTTGCAGATAGCTGATGATGATGAGTATGTTCAGGGTTCAGAGGTACTAAAGGACTCTCTGGGGCGTCGGCCGCTCTGTATTCAGGTTTTATTTTAAAGTCTGATTCCTGCAAAGATTAGCATCTCGATTAATATTCAAGTTGGTGTGAATTATGGATGGACTCATAAAACGACTTCTATTGTCGGTTGATTACTCAGCATTTTCTAACCCTTCGCTCTCCTCTCCATCGTTTGGTCAAAATATTCTCAGCTCTGGCTCCAACAAGCCCGAGATGGGTGACATCATGGAGGCGTTTCAGAGAGTTGATCACAGCTGATGTGTTTGTTCCTCATCCTCTGTGTTTGTGGAGGCCGACAATCCTCTGTGGCTCTGGATCAATAAGGATTTGATTCAAATCCTTCCTGTAATCGGTCCACATATAATCTATTCTTCTGAGAAAACACAACACAGAACAGGAGATAAAGACGCTTTAAAGGCTGATTCACCGCCAACAGCTGGCCTCTGAGAACGACAATGGGTTCTTACAGTCAGTTTATGCAGCAATGTTGGTGGAGAGAAAAGGTGTTTAGTTATTCAGATCAAATATTCAGTAAATGAGGGACAGTGGAGAGAGTCAGAAATCGGGGAGAGAGAGTTAGGGAAGGGACATTCTGGAAAGGAGCCACAGGTTGGACCCGGAGGACCACAGCCTCTGCACACAGGGAGCGCTCACTAACAGGCGCCCTCCTATGTCATTAATTAACTGAGATGTTGAAAGTGATCATTTATGTCTCAAACATGTTTAAAGGCTTTATATGTGATTTTTTTGATCCAGCAGATGTCGCCCTTGAGCACCAGCATGAAACCAAAACAACTTGCGCTGCATTGTTGTGTTAGCATGCTAATGCTAGTGATCTTTATTATGCTCGTATCTTCACACTGCATGTAAATTTACCTGAAATGAGCGTGATCTAGAAACACAGTTAAGCAGTGAGTACAATATGTTATTCTTCTTTTCTCTAGTTCCTCAATTAAACAACTTTTATATACGAAGGGAGGAGTCGGCCGGCCGTCTCGGCGATGTAAACAAACTGAAGATAGGACTCTGAAAACATCACAGACAGTGGGACTCGGGTGTTACACCCATTGTATGACTCACAGAGTTATTTTCAGAGGATATACTTGATTTCTATTATATTTAAGTGTGAAAAATCACATATAAAACCTTTAACACCAAAATCAGCCTGAACATAAATACTCTCACAGCAGCTTTAAGTGATTTTTATCCCCAAATCTTTCTTATATTTCATATAAACAATAAAGATGGTTTACACATGGTGCATGATTTTTCTTGACCTGCATGTTTTGGTTGTTTCTTTTAGTTGGATGTAACTCACACTTCAGTCTCTTAACGCTGATTTAAATCTAACTGATGAATAAAATCCAGGGATTTTTACATTTCTGTGTTTGTGTTATTTTTCCCTTCAGGGTAATCGGAGAGTTTCCGGTTTAAACTCCGAGTGAAGACGCGACACAATGAGGAGGACGTCTGCGTTAGTGACACTTCAATGTATGTTTAAAGTGACCAAGATGATTTCTGATTTATTCACTGTGTAAAATAAATCCTCCAAAAGAGGAAGTGTGAGTCACGTCTCTGCATGTGGGGACACTAACAAAGACAAATAAAACTCTTTTTTTTTAATATCATGGATCTGTCCGTTTCTTTAACCATCACACTGGAAGATTTCTAAATTCAATTAAACAATTTTTATACACGAGGGGAGGAGTCAGCCGGCTGTCCCGCCAATGTAAACAGTGAAGATAGGACTCTGAAAACTCTGAAAGCATCACAGACAGTGGGACTCGGGTGTTACACCCATTGTAGACAGTCATGACTCACAGAGTTATTTTCAGAGGATATACTTGATTTATATTATATTTAAGTGTGAAAAATCACATATAAAACCTTTAACAGTAGAAATGTTTTAATCTTACTTTTTACTACTTGTTTTTTGGCTAACAGAGTGACATTTGTTTCCAACACTTACCGTCTTTCTTTCTTTCTTACGCTTTCTAATGTAAACACCAGATCTTACAGTGTTGTGTTTTCCCCTCACTCGCAGATGTTGTGACGACTCGAGGATGAAACAGCAGCTGTACTTTTAGGGAAGACAAAGGCCCTGTTTTCGATGGCATGCACCATCAGAAGTGTTTACAGCTGCTCTTGAACACGAAGCAAACAGAGCTGCTTCAACCAAACCATGTGACAACCAGCAGTCCTGGACCTCCACGGCTGTAAATCAGTAAAGGTGCTCAGGTTTCAACTCATTTATTGAGCTCAGTTGTTTTGGGTGTTCGGCTCCTCTCATTGCCCGTCTTGCTGCAGTGTCCCTCATCTTCCCTCAGATCCTGCATCAGCTCTTGGTTTGCAGCTGTCTCTCTCCTTGTTCTCTCCTCTTCTCCTTACGCCGGCTCCTCCAGGCTGTTCCGATCATCCAGCTGATCCCCCCCCTTGCTCAGTTGTCGGCCCAGTTGGATCCTTCACTGTTTTTTCTTCTTTGTGCTGTTTCTGTTCTGTGAAGCAACAGACCGTAAGCTGTTCCCAGGACAAACTTCCCCTCAGGGACAATTAAGTTGAATGTGTCTCTCTTTGTCTTGGAAACCCTCGGCTGTCTTTGTGAGACAGATTAACTCAGCGGCTGATGTCTCTCAGTCTGCTCTCTGCCAGGGGCCCTGCTCGGATTCTCTACCTGGTCTATTATTTGTTGAACACATTTTTCTAGTTTCTCGTTGATTAAGACTATGCACTCATCTATAGAGTACATAAAGGGACTCACACTTTATCTAGAAAGATGTCCTTCTATTTGGGTGGGAATCAAAGGGAAACTCACAACAAGACACACAAAACATGACCATAGACTGCAGCAGGGGGTGCTGGAGGCTCATCAACAGCAGCTGCCATGCTGGAAATGCTGTCTCAACCTAACTGAGAGTTGGAGGTGAGGCTGGTTTTAAGCCTCCTGACAAACCGTTACAATTATGTCAGCTACTCGCCTAACTATGGCTAACACATATCGTTCTCAAAATCAAAACTGAGCCGTTAAAAAAAAATAACCCCCCCGTAAAGTGTGTGCCAGTGATGACAATAACAAATCAGACTTATTTGGTTTTTTTTTAACCAGGCGACAAACATGTTAATATTATGCTGTAAAAACTGCTTTTTTGTCAGTCATGTGTATGTGACTTCGGGTGTTCCTGGAGCCAGCCTCTAGTGGACACTCAAGGAACTGCAGTATTTTGCATTTCCGCATTGGCTTCATATTTCAAGACCGGAGGTTGTCGCTTGTTCATGGTCCACAATAACGATGATATCACTTCCATCAGGCAGCCACGCTCATAAAGCATCCTCTGTTTTATTGTCTATCTGACTCCTAATGGGACCGTCATTTACTAAATGAGCATCACGCTGTGTTGAAGGAGAATTAGAACTAGAGAATGAGACCATAAACTCATTAGGAAAATGTTTACTGAGAGAAAAAATCAGTTGAGAAGTAAATCCATTTCCCATATCTGATTTTATACAATTTAATTCCTTTTTGAAAACCAGTGGAGTCGCCCCCTAATGGTCATAAGAAAGAATGCAGGTTGAAGGCAGTTCTGCATTAGCTCCGCTGACTTCTGTTTGATATTGTGGATATTTTTCCCCGTAATGGTGTATAAGGAAATGACACCCATATGAACCCGAATCTTCGGGTTCAAATGTTTACATTTCTATTTTTTACCTCTGCTCAAATAAATAAGACAAATTAAATAAATAATCTTTGAGTCTGTGAGCTTTGAAACTGTTGCTCCTCTCTGTGTGCTGCGAGACGAATCCAGACGATAACTATTTCAACACCTGCGGAGGAAACTCCTGCACACGCTATGCTGCTGTAGGAGGAAGAGGGGGAGGAGGAAGAGGAGGAGGAGGAAGAGGAGGAGGGGGAAGAGGAGGAGGAGGAGGAGGAAGAGGAGGAGGAGGAGAAGGAGGAAGAGGAGGAGGAGGAGGAAGAAGAGGAGGAGGAGGAGGACGAGGAGGAAGAGGAGGAGGAGGAGGGGGAAGAGGAGGAGGAGGAGGAAGAAGAGGAGGAGGAGGAGAAGGAGAAGAGGAAGAGGAGGAGGAAGAGGAGGAGGAGGAGGAGGAGGAAGAGGATGAGGAGGAGGAGGAGGATGGGGAGGAGGAGGAGGGAGGAGGAGGAGGAAGAGGAAGAGGAGGAGGAGGAGGAGGAGGAAAAGGGGAGGAGGAGGGGGAGGAGGAGGGAGAGGAGGAAGAGAAGGAGGGGAGGAGGAAGAGGGGGAGGAGGAGGAGGAAGAGGAGGAGGAGGAGGAGGAAGAGGATGAGGAGGAGGAGGAGGAGGAGGAGGAAGAGGAAGAGGAGGAGGAGGAGGAGGGAGGAGGAAAAGGGGGAGGAGGAGGGGGAGGAGGAGGGAGAGGAGGAAGAGGAGGAGGGGGAGGAGGAAGAGGGGAGGAGGAGGAGTAGGAAGGAGGAGGAGGAGGAGGAGGAGGAGGAGGAGGAGGAAGAGGGGGAGGAGGAGGGAGAGGAGGAGGAGGAGGAGTAGGAAGAGGAGGAGGAGGAGGAGGAGGAGGAGGAGGAGGAGTAGGAAGAGGGGGAGGAGGAGGAGAGGAGGATTGAGAGGAGGAAGAGGAGGAGGGGGAGGAGGAGGGTAGTCAAACATGACAGTTTGTTCAGATAGAGTAACAGAAGAGGAAACATCTCTACGAGCTTCAAAAAGAGTCACGAGTTTACGCTGTTATTTCAAAGTCGTATTTATAACGAGTAACTTCTTGACCTCCGACCTTATGACCTTTACAAAACTTCATCTGAAAAGCATAAAGTTAAAGATTCAGTTATTACAATAATGACTTTTTAACTGCTTAATGTGTTAAATCAATGCTAAGAAATCTGTACACTGATGATAATAATAATAAAAATAGAAGTTTAAATTGTATGTAGCCCAGGACGCTTCACAACAGAGGCCCCGAGACTTTGTTTCTTTAAGGGCCACATAACTTTGGGGGGGGGGGTGCAGGATCTGTCTGTGAGAAAAACTAACGTCCTGGAGTGACTACCGGTTTTATTGTGGAGATGGATTTCATCCCAGGAGATTGATTCAGCTGAACTTGGCATAAAAATGCATTTTGAGAGAGAGAGAGAGTTAGGGTGGACAGAGAGAGGGAGAGAGAGAGAGAGAGAGAGAGAGAGAGAGAGAAAGTAGTAGTTAGGGTGGAGAGAGAGAGCAGAAGAGTCTGAGGGGAGAGAGAGAGGAGAGAGTAGTGTTAGGGAAGAGAGAGAAAGAGAGTAGTATTAGAGTTAGAGGGGGGGAGAGAGAGAGAGAGTAGTATTAGAGTTAGAGGGGGGGAGAGAGAGAGAGAGAGAGTAGTATTAGAGTTAGAGGGGAGAGAGAGAGTAGTATTAGAGTTAGAGGGGGGAGAGAGCGAGAGCTGCTGTAATCCTCTGCCTATAAAGCAGCGCAGCAGAGCGAGGCAGCCTCAGTGTGAAGGATGGGAGATCAAACGGCGCCGTGGTCCTCCGCTCTGATGACAGATGGAGCATCCTTCGGTCTGAGCAGCAGCAGCACCCAGCAGGATGACGCCTGGTCCCCTCGCCCTCTGCTGCCTCCCACTCCTCCTCCTCTCCGCTCTCTCTCTCACTCTCTCACAAGGTAAGTGGACCACCCCATCGGGAAGCTTCTCCTCCGGGAGAGTTTTAAAAAAAGGAGCAGAGGAAAAGTTTGGAGTGGCTGCAGAAAGCTTTGTTGGAGAATATAAAGTCGTTTTTTTGTTGGAAGGACAAAAGGTGTGACCGTTTTTCTGATTCTGACCTCATCATGATCGGGCTTCTCTACTCCTTTATTTCACCACTCTAAGAGACAAACAGGAACAATGCCGCTCACTCTGCTTGGAGAATATTTATATATTACATCATATTATAAATGCTGCTGAATTCGCTCCTGTTTTCATACCAAGCGGTCTCTCTTGTTTAATTCTCTAATCAAATTGATCTAACACAGCTTGACATGTAATTGTAGCTGCACCTGTAGATTTCTACCACCTGTTTCAGGAGTCAAAATGTTTTTCTTTTTATAAATTTAGATGTAGCCTAAGTGACCAGGGTCGTGGTCGAAGATGTGTTTACTTTAAAGCTTAACCTGAAATCTTTGATCGGTGTACGGGCGATGAACTTCATGCTCGACTGAGTGCAACCCTTCGCTTCCACTTTATTGCATTAATGGAGTCCTCTGTGTGTGTGTGTGTATATGTGTGTGTGTGTGTGTGTGTGTGTGTGTGTGTGTGTGTGTGTGTGTGTGTGTGTGTGTGTGTGTGTGTGTGTGTGTTTTGGCTGTGTTTGTTTTTAAAAGGTCTTGGGAGTGTTTTTATGTGTTTCAATGCATCACTGAAGTAATTCTTTTCAATACTTTTTGATCTGCGGTTGGCCCGTCCAAAGAAAGGACTGGGCCACTGAAAGGCCCTATATTCAGATGCCATTTAACCACATCAGTGCATGCTATTGGAGGGGTCAGCCCAATGGTCCCACATTTCTAAGATTTTTCTCAAAATTAAACCCTATTTTCCAACATTTGTAGGACATTTTCAAAGTTAGGTCTTGTGTTCCTACATTTCCCTTCAATTTAAGCACTATCCTCCCACAAGATTTTTTGGAAGCACTTTATAGTAAATGAAAGAATGAATGAATGAGTAATTTTATTTCGATCAGCAGCAGCAGAAATCGTCACAATCACAATCATTACAAGAAAAAATAAAATAGGGTTTCAGCTGAAGCAGAGCTTATAGATGCCAAACCTTTGCACCAGATTTAGCTAAAAGCTACGTTCCATCTGTAGTTCATTGCTACTGGATAATAGGTTGGGTGTAATTGGCTACCAAATTGGGAGAAAGAGGGGTAACATCGGATACAAATTTAATAAAAAGGAAATGTGGGAACATAGGGCCTAATTTTGAAAAACATCTTAAAAATGTGGGAACATAGGCACGCTCCCATATTGGATAAGTAGCGATAGCGCTAGCCTCCTAGCTAACATTGACATCCTTGGCTTGGATGCTAACCAGTACCCGACTGATATGGGAATTTTTTGGGTCGATACCGATATTAGGGAGGAAGAAAGAAAATTTGATACCGATATATCGGCCGATATCTTCCTTAGATATATCTTGGATCTTTAGAGATATACACACATTTAGTGCGTTGATCCCTGAAATGCAGTTATCAAACACTTGTGGAAAAGATATATAACGAAGTCAAGATAGTCACTCAGCTGGAAAGTAACCGAGCATGTACATGCATCACCGCTCGAAACTCTAGAGAGTGATGATGTTTGTTGTAATCCATGTAGCGCCCTCTGCTGGTGAAATAGAACTGCTAGTGTAATACAATGAAAATCAGATTAAAATGCCATTTGGCTGGTGAATAAATCGAGTAATATCTGCGTATATTGGTGATAAAATTAGCCGATACAGATTGTCACATGATAAGCAAATATCGGCCACTATTATGGGCTTGCAGATTAATCAGTCGGGCTTTAATATCAGCAGTGCCGTATACATGCACCCGGATGCTTTTCCATGGAGCAGCTGCAGCCTCGACCTCGCTCCACTGCATCTCTTCAGTCGGCTCTGTCTTGAATAAACACAGCTGAACTTTGGGATGCTATTTCTGCTGTTAGTACATGTAGAGCGGTTTTATAACAACACAAGAGGAAAAAGACAGCAAGGCCAAACTGAAACAGCCTTGAGTTCTTCTTCACATCCAGCAATTGTTGGTAGAAGAACACATTTTTCGGCTGCAACCAAAAGACAAAAAGAGATGTTTTCATACCTTACTCTGATAGGTCGAGATTAGATAACTTAAACATGAGATCCACTCGCCATCCTTTTCCTGGTCTCTCAGACAGGTCCAACAGTTACACATATATTTAAATTTAAATCACTGAATTTTGACTGAAGGAGAGGTCATATAATGATGGACTTTCTATTCAAACAAGGTCAGGTTGAATAAACTCTTGTTTAGTTTTTGTGTTTATTTCTGAAAGACTGCACAAGGTGTTAAGGTAGATGGTGTGAAGTCTTCCTTTGGCTCGTTAAACTTCTATTTTGAGGGCTGAAGTTTGGAATTTGGTTGTTACCGTCATGGTTTTAGAGTGACCACTGTTGGAAAACAAATTTTCAGGTTTAGGAACGTTATTTGCTAAGGTGGCAGCTGAGTTATTTAAGGATTCATTAAACTTCTACCAACATTTTTGATACTTGGATACTTTTCAATACTTATAGAAACCATGTGTTTTAAAACAATACAATATCCATTATTTTGATGATCCAAACGATCCCAAAGTACTAAAGTTTTAGGAAAATGTTTGATCTTCAGTCATATTTTTAACCAGCAGCTGCAGAAAAGAGAGAGAGAGAGAGCGATGTCAAAACTGCACAAAAATTTGTCATGTTTGTATTTGTACAATTTTAAAATTGTGTAGGAGTGTGTATGCAATTTTTGAGGAATTAAAAATGATGGGTTTGTATAGGAATTAGCTCACTACTGGCTAAATCCTCCAGTGGCCACTTTGGGAACTGCACATGTTTCAGACTTGAGCTTGTTGCTTAGTTTGTTCGCACTTCAAGTTGACCATTTCTTTCCTCTGAAACTGACTGGCGATGGATAATGCATTGAGGTGAACGCTGAGTTTCTTTTAAACGTTGTCATTTTACTTTATGGTGTGACAAAGCAGGGGAAACTTTCAAACCTGCGTCAAATCAAAAAAAGAAAAACATGACAGTGAAAGCAGACACAATTCCCTCTGTTATTCATAATGTAAGTGCAGCAAGCATCTCAGCCAGTACCACATTTAAATGCCAGGCTGGATTATTTCTAACTGTACTGAATGGACCAATGGGTGGAGGGCCCAGATCTCCTCCAGGGGCCAAGACCTCCTCCAGGGGCCACAGCAGCTCCAGACTGTCTGAGAGAAAGTCATTGGTAATTTGATTGACTGTGTTTTGTTAGCTCTCCCTGGGTTTTGCTAACAGGGTAAGAATACTGTCTCATTAAATAACCATTCACTTACTGATGTACTCTGCTGTGTGCTTTGAGCTGAATGTATTCATCATGCACTGCCCCTGTTACCTTTTAGTTATGTGTTTGAGAGGGATGATTTTGTCAGTGCTGGAGGTCTTGTGAGGTTTACAAACCAAGGACAATCGCATGTCTTCTCCCAATCGCATCTCTTTGACCTCCATGGAGGATCTCACGAGGTCAAGGAAAGGTTAATTATGACGTCAGAATAGCACTAAACATTGGCAGATGTTTTGATGTTTACAGTGTTGTGAAACCACAATGGTCAGGAGACGGATATTCTGGGTTGCAGGCATTTAAAAATGGACATCCTGGTAAAAAGTACGTTTTACAGTCAGGGTTGGATTTCAGAAACACAAAGAAGGAATTTAAGCCAACAGACATACAAGGAAAATGAAATTGTTGAAGTTGATCACCCTCTTCTCCCCAGAGTGAAGGAGGGGCGGCTGTGGCTCAGTTGGTAGAGTCGGTTGTCTCTCAACTGGAAGATTGGGGGTTTGATCCCCAGCTCCTGCAGCCACATGTCCGATGTGTCCTTGGGCAAGACACCTGATGGACTCTTTCTTCAGCAGCCTCTACCATCAGTGTGTGAATGTGTAGTGGGACCTGTGGTGTAAAAGAGCTTTGAGTAGTCTGAAGACTATACAAGCTCAAGTCCATTGACCAGTTACCAATGTAAACACTTTAGCAAATGCAGTTGGACATGAGTTGAACCAGCACTTATCATGGATCTACTTAAAGATCTTACATTCTCCTCATGTTCACCTTTTATGTTGTCAGTCTGTGAAACCTGTAGAGAAGCTTTGAAGATTTGCAGCTGAGAAACCTTCTTATTTATCTGATACTGGTGTCAGTAAAAACCCTAACCCTAATTTCAGCTTCTGCCTGAAATGGTTTGGTTCAGCTACTGTCTCTTTAAGCCCCTCCTCCCCATGTGCCCACTTTCTTCTGATTGGCCGTCTCTCTGGAAGACTTCCAGGGGGGCAGAACGCTACAGGGCTTCCAGTGGAGGGCTGCTCTCCAGTGCTGGGAGAAGAGAGCCTATGTAAGAGATTTCAATAGAGTACGTAAAGGCTTGAAGCCGTCTTTCTTGCGAACTATCTTGTGATTATCAGAGAGTTTAGCGCCCTCTGCAGGCTTATTCTGGGACATGTTTACCTCATGATCTGAGACTTTGCCCACGTTTAGTTTTGGCATCCAGCATTGTATTTTTGTACTTTATGAGAGTTTTAAAATGGGGAGCTACAGAATAGGTCAACTGTAAAATGTCCTCCATGATGTATCTAATATCCACTAGTCTAATGGCCTGATAAGATTTTCTGATTGGTTCTAGATTTTGTCAAACATTATTGCTTTCTTGTTCCGCCCAAGCTTCCCCCTTCCATAATTTTCTTGAAAATAAGTCGTTAAGAAGAACGTTAAAAAAAACCTTCTTGGTGGATGCTAATCCAACGTGGGGGGAGGAGAGGGTTAATCCCACCATAGTGGAGTGATTGGAATCCAGCAGCTGCCTGGAAGCTGAGAAATCATTTGATCAGATTTGGGGTTTTGTTGACATTTGGTGTCGCTGTGTTCCTTGTA